TAGCCGCGGCCCTTGCCGCCGCCCTTGCCCCCGCCCCCGCGGCTCCTCCTCCAACTTGCGGGCATGCGGGTCGAGCTTCCTTCCCCTCAGCCGCCGGCTCGGCGTCTGGTGCTCGAGCGCAGTCCTCTGGCGGCTAGACCGCCACTCCGCACAGGGCGAGAGGCAGCCGAGACCCGAGATGCAGCCGAGAGGCAGCCGAGAGGCAGCCGAGGTGCAGCCGAGAGGCAGCCGAGGTACAGCCGAGAGGCAGCGGAGGGGCAGCCGAGAGGCAGCCGAGGTACAGCCGAGAGGCAGCCGAGGTACAGCCGAGGTACAGCCGAGAGGCAGCCGAGGTACAGCCGAGGTACAGCCGAGAGGCAGCCGAGAGGAAGGCGCAGACAGTGGCCATGGCCATGGCGACGGCGTCTCTTCACACCTCCTGGCTGTGAACAGGCGAGGAGGCGGAGGGGCCGCAGTCCGAGGCGGCGAAGGTCGCCTCGTGGCTCTGCCGCCTCGGCGCGGGCGCCCTGCCGCAGCGTCCCTAAGAACAAGCTGTGATGGAAGACAAACGTCGCACGCGTAGGAGCGGGCGGCGTGCCGCGCAGCCGGCCCGTCCACACGTCGCGCGCCTCGCCGACGCTGGTGCTCTGGGGGGAGAGGGCGGCGCCGGCAGGCGGCCTCGGCAGGGGCGGCGCGGGGGGGAGTCCGTCAATCACAGCGACTGAGGATGCGGTGGTGAGTGCATAGGCGGGAGTGGGAGGGGCGGCGCTGCGGCCGGAGGGTCCGTTCCGCAGTGCTCTCTCGTCCTCGGGCTCGACGAGTCTTCGGGCGGCGAGCCTTGGCTGAGCGGGAGAGATCCGCACGCGGCCGCCTGTGAATTCGTTCACCCGTGAATGAACAGTTCATGAATGGGTAGGAGAGTCCCGCACGCAGCCGCCTGCTTCACCAGAGACGACTACCTCGTCTGCACCGCGCCTCCGCCTCCTCCTCCGCCGCCGCCTCCTCCGCCTTCGCCGCCGCCGACGCGGGAGGGAGGCGCGTCGTGCCGTCTGGCGGGGAGCAGGCGTCCGGAGATACGGGGAGATATGGGGAGATATGGGGAGATATGTGCCGCCTGGCGGGGAGATATGGCACCACATGCTGTGCCGGATGTAGCACAACGTGATGGAGCGCGGGAGAGTTTCTCTCAGGTGACACCCTCCCTCTCCTCAATCTCACCTGACACCCCTCGTTACCACAGGCCGACTGGGCCGGAGCCGCGCATGGAGCTCTCTCTCTCCGATGGCTCGATGCTGCTGCTGGCTCCGGGCGGGGGCGGCGCCGTCGGCGACACTTGGGAGGCGTGACTCGCCCATCTCTCGCCCATCTCTCGCCCGTCTCTCCCCGTCTCTCGCCCATCTCTCGCCCATCTCTCGCCCATCTCTCCCCGTCTCTCCCCATCTCTCGCGCCACGTGGGAAGCGAGCCCCCGCCCGGGCGCCACACTGACTCACGCGTCACGCGAGCTGTCGATGCCACGGACCGCCCTCTGATCTCGCGTCGAGTCTAGAGGCCGTCTCTAGAGGCCGTCGCCTCGAAGGAGTCAGCCTCTCAGCCTCGCCCTGCTGTCTGGAGGCGTCTCTATCCCTCGCGTCGCTGCGGGCCGTCGGCAGCGGCAGCGCCGAGCGCAGCTACACGCTCGCCGCGCGCACCTTCTCCCTCGAGCTCTGCACCGCCCCAGGCATGCTCTCACTAGTCCTCCTCTCCGTTACTCTTGTGCCTCCCTGACCTCCCTCGAGCTCTGCACCGCCCCAGGCATGCTCTCACTAGTCCTCCTCTCCGTTACTCTTGTGCCTCCCTGACCTCCCTCGAGCTCTGCACCGCCCCAGGCATGCTCTCACTAGTCCTCCTCTCCGTTACTCTTGTGCCTCCCTGACCTCCCTCGAGCTCTGCACCGCCCCAGGCATGCTCTCACTAGTCCTCCTCTCCGTTACTCTTGTGCCTCCCTGACCTCCCTCGAGCTCTGCACCGCCCCAGGCATGCTCTCACTAGTCCTCCTCTCCGTCACTCTTGTGCCTCCCTGACCTCCCTCGAGCTCTGCACCGCCCCAGGCATGCTCTCACTAGTCCTCCTCTCCGTTACTCTTGTGCCTCCCTGACCTCCCTCGAGCTCTGCACCGCCCCAGGCGGCGCGGCGCCGGCGCTATCCGCGGCGGACGGTGCGGAGCTGGGAGAGGCGGCACCGACCCCGCTTCTCTCGACCCTGGTGCCCTCCGCCCTCTCGCGCTCTCCGGCGCCGTCGCGGTGCCGCTGCCGAGCCGTGAGCGACTCGGAATTCATCACCACGACTCGATTGCCAGGCGCCGTGGCACGGGCGAGGAGGAGGGCAGAGCCGCCCGCCCACGCCCGCGGAAGACGGCTGCGGGGTGCGAGACGCCGTCGAGGCGTGCGCCAGATCTGGGGAGATCTGGCGAGATCTGGCGAGATCTGGCGAGATCTGGGGAGATCTGGCGAGATCTGGGGAGATGCGCCGCGCCGCCGCCGTCGAGGTTCCACCGAGATCGCCCCGAGATCGCCGCCGCCCCCGCCGCCCGACTCACGCCCCGAGGTCGGGCGGGGCGGCAGGTGTGCGTGGTTGTTCCCGCCGTCGACGACGGCGCGGAGAAGCCGCCGCCGTCCTCGCCGCCGTCGCCGTCGCGGGGCGAAAAGGCGGCCGCCGCCGGGAGCGGGCTGACCACGGTGTCTGTCATGGTGGAGGGGGTGCTCATCGACAACGAGCTGCGAGGCGCCGCCTTCCCCCGCGTGCCGCCGCCTCCCCCCCCCCTTTCACACCGCCCCCGCCGTGGTTAGGCGGCCGGCTGCAGTCTGCCTCCGAGGGGCTGTCGGCTCTCTTCGCGCCTCCGCCCGTCGCAGCCGAGGGCGGGGGGCGGGGGGCGGAGAGGGAGGCGGGCGAGGCGGCCGCTTCCCCGGCGCCGTGGCGGCTCTACCTCCACGCCCGCGACTCTGCGCTGCAGCACACGCCGCGCCGCGCCGCCGGGGCGGCGGACGGGGCGGCGTCGGAGCAGCGGTGCGGCGCCACTGCCGCACCGTACGCGTGGCTGCTGCTCCCCTCGCTTAGTATGGACGCGACCTTCCATCGCGCCGGCAACAGCGGCGGCGGCGGCGACGACGGCGACGACGGCGGCGGTGCTGGAGGCGGCGGCGGCGGCAGTGGCAGCGGCTGCGGCTGCGGCGGCGTCGGTGGCGGTTGCGGCAGCGAGGCTGGCGCGATGTGTGGCGAGGGGAAGCAGGCGCCGGATGGGGCGACTTGCCTCGAGGTGACGGCGCACTGCATGCCGAGCTGTGCGCCTTGCCTCCTCTCTGGCCGCCTGAATCTCGCGCAATCTCGGCCGATTAGGTGATGGTGCACGCGGCGGAGCTGTACCTCGGCCAAAGGGCTGCGCTGCGTCCGGTGCCGAGAGATGTAGCCGAGAGATGTAGCCGAGAGATGTAGCCGAGAGATCTAGCCGAGATCTAGCCGAGATCTGGCCGAGATCTGGCCGAGATCTGGCCGAGACGTAGCCCAGGCGAGCCCAGAGTAGCCGAGAGTAGCCGAGAGTAGCCGAGATATAGCCCAGATTCCGTCCGGCGCTGCCCGTGTGTTCTGTGCCCCCCCGCCCCGACCCCCCAACCCCCCAACCTCCCAACCCCCCCGCCCCTTCCCCTCTCACGGCGACTCTTTGACAGCTGCCTGCTGCCGGCAGGCGCTGCCCGTGTACGCCGGCCGAGGCGCCGCCCCGCTCGTCAACATCCTCCCGCCCGCGAGCAGCAGCCTCGACGGCTCGCCAGGCGGCGCTGGCTGGAGCATCGACTCGGGCGACAGCGCCGAAGGCACGTCGCGGCTGGGCGCGCTGCGGTCGCAGCTGCGCCGCTCTTCGGCGGTGCAAGTCGCCTCTGCGGTGCGGCTGTCTCTCGTCTCCACCTCGGCTGGACCTCGGCTGTACCCCCCCGGTATGAGTTATTACCGGCAGGTGCGGCTCGTGCTCTGCCACCGCACGAGCAGCGACGCAGCCGAGTCCTCGACGAGCCTCGCCAACGACGAGCTGCGGCTCGAGACCGCCGCCGACACCTTCGACGCGCGGGAGCAGCCGAGAGACGCCGAGAGGCAGCCGAGAGGCAGCCGGGAGGCAGCCGAGAGGCAGCCGAGAGCCAGCCGAGAGCCAGCCGAGAGGCAGCCGAGGTACAGCCGAGAGGCAGCCGAGGTACAGCCGAGAGGCAGCCGAGGTACAGCCGAGGTACAGCCGAGATACAGCCGAGAGGCAGCCGAGATGTTGCCGAGATGTTGTTGAGACCGGCGCCGACACCCCTCGACGCTTCCCCTCCCGCTCGCCCCTTCACACCTGTACCTGCACCTGTGCTGTGAAGAGCGCCCCCCCCCCCCCCCCTCCCCCGCCGTGCCCAGGCGCTCCTCCAGCTCATCCCCGCGCTCGGCTGGAGCGCGGGCGCGTCGGCGCCGTCCACACCGCCAGCCTCGCCGCCGCTCGACTCGCCGCTAACCACACGCCAACAGGCCGACAGAGCCGCAGCTGTGATCGCCTCCCCTCGCCACGGCCGCAGCGGCGCTGCCCGAGCGGGCGTGGCCGCCATCGACGTTGGCCGCGGCTGCTGCGGCGGCGGCGAAAGCGGCGGCGGCGGCGGCGGCGGCGAAGGCAGCAGACGTGGCGGCGGAGGAAGCAGATGCGGAGGCGGAGGCGGAGGCGGAGGCGGAGGCGGAGGCGGAGGCGGAGGCGGAGGCGGGGGCGTGTGCGGAGGGGGGACGACCCGCGACGTCTCCTCGGCCCCCCGGCTGGCTGTCTCATTAACAACTCACGAGTCACTCCGTCAATGAGTGAACACAGGCCCCCCGGCTGGCCCTCTCCGTGCCGACACCGCTGGTGAGCGCCGCAGCGAGCCGGCTGGGCATCAGCACGGCGGGGAGCGTCTGCGAGGCGCCGTGGCTAGACTGCTCCTATCTCGCCATATCTCGCCATATCTCGCCATATCTCGCCATATCTCGCCATATCTCGCCATAGGCGCCGTGGCTAGACTGCGGCGCCGCGCAGCCGACGGCGCCGTCTGCCGCGCCTCCTCCAGCCCTGCCGCCTCCGCCCTCCCGCCCTCCGCGCGGAGCCGCACCCTCGCTGGCGCCTCCGCGGCGGCGATCGCTGCGTGGCCAGCCACGAGCTCCCCGCCGCAGCCTTCGCGTTCAGCGCCCTCGTCGAGCCGTCGTAGGCGCAGCCAGACCGGCCGCAGCGAGGGGTGCGTCAGCGGCGCGGCACTCGGCGGCGGCTGCCTCCACATCATCGACGAGTACCACGGCTCCGGAGGAGCTAGACGCCGAGATGGCGCCGAGATGGCGCCGAGATGGCGCCGAGATGGCGCCGAGATGGCGCCGAGATGGCGCCGAGATGGCGCCGAGATGGCGCCGAGATGACGCCGAGATGGCGCCGAGATGCGGCCGAGATGCGGCTGAGATGCGGCTCTCGGCGGCGCGCGGGGGGGGGGGGGGGGCTCCACGGCGCTCTTTCCGTTGACGCGCAGCTGTTCCCTTTCGTGGTAGGGTCGTCGTCGGCGCACGCCGCGCCCTCGCGGAACGCCGTCTCCGTCTCCCCGCCCGCCCTGCCGGTGGCTCGGGGGGCGGACGGCGCGCTGCAGTTCGGCGGCGAGGCGCGGGGGCGGGGGGGCGGAGCGGGCGGCGGCGAGGCAAGAGGCGGCGGAGCGGGCGGAAGCGAGGCCGGCGGCGGCGGGCCATCCTTCGGGCGGGAGCGGGGGCGAGGCGCCGCTCCGAGGCGCGCGGGAGAGGGAGGGCCGGGGTGCGGCGCCGAGCTGCTCTGCACGGGCCCGACCGTCGACGCGTTCGACTTGCTCCCCGCCGGCGTGCTCGCCGCCCCTCATGGCGGAGGCATTCACAGAGGCGGCCCGCCGCCGGCGATGTTGCCGCCGCCGCCGGCGATGCTGCCGCCGCCGCCGTCGGTGATTGACCGGTGCGGCGCGGCGTGCGCGTGCGGCCCGTCGACTGCGGCGCCAAACCGGCCGTCCCTCGAGGTGCTCATATCTCGCCACATCTCGCCACATCTCGCCACATCTCGCCACATCTCGCCACATCTCGCCACATCTCGCCACATCTCGCCACATCTCGCCACATCTCGCCACATCTCGCCACATCTCGCCACATCTCGCCACATCTCGCCCAACCGGCCCTCCAAGGGGTGCTTTGGAGAGGGGGGGGGGGGGGCTCCCGCGTCTCGAGCTCGCGCGAGATCAGCCGAGATTGCGCGAGATCAGGTGCTCGCGGCGGGAGGAGGTGCGACGTGCGCTGCGCTCGCTGCAGCGGCGGAGTTCGAGGCCGAAGCGGCGGGCGCTGACCTCGGGGCAGGAAAGAGACGTCCCAGACACCCCCCAGACACCCCCCAGACACCTCCCAGACACCCCCCAGACACCCCCCAGACACCTCCCAGACACCTCCCAGACACCCCCCAGACACCCCCGAGACACCTCCCAGACACCCCCCAGACACCCCCGAGACACCTCCCAGACACCCCCCAGACACCCCCGAGACACCCCCCTCAACCCCTCGGGGCAGGCGAGGCCCCCAGCCGCTCAGCCGCGCCGCCGCGCCGCCCTCGCACGCCGTCGCGGTCGTCTGCACCGGCGCAGCCTCCCCGCTCTCCTGCGGGTCCGCTGGGGTCTCTTGCGGGTCCGCTGGGCGGGGCGGCGGGCGGGGCGGCGGGCGGCGGGGCTGTCCGGCCGCCTGTTGAGGTGAAGGGCGCGACTGCGCGTTGGCTTGGCGGCCCCCCCGCCCTCGACGAGCGGTGCGCCTCGGGGGGTCGAGATGGCGCATGAGAAAGACCCGGGAGAAGACACACCGAGGTGGCACCGAGGTGGCACCGAGGTGGCACCGAGGTGGCACCGAGAGGACACCGAGGCTGCACCGAGATGACCCCGGGGCGGTCCGCAAGCGCAGGTACGTGCCCGCGTTCGCCCCGAGGGCCGTGGCGCCGGTCGGCCCGCCCCGCGCGGCGGCGGCGGGCGGCGGCTGTCGGCCGTGTCGCTGCTTTTCGCTGCGGGACGTGCACGTGCGTTGGACACTGCTCGCCGGGTCCGGGTGGGCGGCAGGGAGGGCGCCGGCCCGCCACTAGCGACGGCGACCACGAGTCAACAGAGCCGCGAGGAGGGCCGAGACGCGATGCTTCGCATGGATAGGCCCGCGCCGGGGACGGTCGCCTCGCTGCTCCGCCGCCGCCCCCGCCGCCTCGCATGCAGCTCGTGCTGAGCGGGCTGGCATGCGAGAGCGAGGAGTACAGCGGCGGGGGCGAGGAGGCGCCGAGCGAGTGGCGGCTGAGCGTGCAGCTGGGCAGCCTACCCCCCCCCCCCCCCACCCCCCCGCCGCCGGAGATTGGCCCGAGATCGGCGAGATTGGCCCGAGATTGGCGTGGGGAGGAGCCGCGAGGAGCCGAGGGGGAGGAGGCTCGTGAGAGGAGAAGCCTCCCTCTGCTGGAGTAGTGACTCGCTAGGGAGGAGCAGGGAGTTATTCATTAAGGCTCGACGCGCAGGCGCACTCAGCTTGGTCGACGAGCTCGCTCGGTGCGAGGCCGACTCCGGCCAGCCTGGCCGCGAGTCTGGCCGCGCAGCGCCGCTGCTCTTCTTTGCGGCGGACGACGCGTCGCTCCGCCCGAAGGAGCGAACCCCCGCCCGCCGCCGGCCACATCCTCACCCCCCGGCCATTCCCCCCCCCGGCCTCCCGGAACCCCCCCCCCCCCAGCACCCCCCCCCCCCACCAGTTCCCCCCCCCCCCCGCCCAGATCGCTGCCCCCCGGCCCCCCCCGGGGGGGCCCCCCCCCGGCGGGGGCCGCGGCGGCCTGTTCGACCGGGGGGGGGGGCGCCCAAAAAATAGAGGTCGCGTAGCTCCCCGGCCCCGGCCCCCCGGCGGGCCCTGGCCCCGGCCCCGGCGCCCGCCGGCGCCCGCACCGGGCCGCGCCCCCCCCGGCCCGGCGCGCCCGCCGGCCGCCCCCCCGGGGCCGGCCCGGGGACGGCCGCCGGGCCCGCGGCGCGCCGCCCCCCGGGGCGCCCGGCCCCCCGGCCGGCCCCGCCCCCCCCGGCCCCCCGCCCGCCCCCCCGCACGGCGCCCCCCGCGCCCCGGCCGCCCCGCGCGGGGGCGGCCGCCCCCCGGGGCGGCCCCCCCCGCCCCGCCGCCCCCCCCCCCCCGGCCGCGCCGGCGTCCCCCCCCCCGCCCCCGGCCCCGGCGGCCCCGGGCGCCCCCCCCCCCACGGCCCCCCGCCGACCCCGCGGGCCCCGCCCGCCCCCCCGGCCCCCGGCGCCCGCCCGCGGGCGCGCGCCCCCCCGCCCGGGCCCCCGCGCCGCGGCCCGGCGCCCGCCGCCCCCCCCGCCCGCCGCGCCCCCGCCCGGGGCGCGCCCCGCCCCCGCGCGGGCCCCCCCCGGGCCCACTGTTTTTTGGCGCCACCGGGCGAATCCGTTTGGTTCCGCCGGTTTGCAACCACGTTCCTTTTACCATCATCGCGGAAAAATTCAAGCCCCTGCGACATCCTCATACCCTATTTCCGGGGGAGGAGTGGGGTTTGAATATGAGGCCGAAGGAGGCACCCCCCCCCCCCCCCTTTCCCCCCCCTCCCCCCCCCCCCCCACAGGAGCACCCCTGCCTCCTCGTCGTCTCCCTCTCCCAGTGCGACGGCGGCATCCGCCTCTTCCTGCGGCTGCAGCCCGTGCGGCGAGATGCAGCAGAGATGCAGCCGAGATGATGCAGCAGCGATGATGCAGCAGAGAGGGAGCAGAGAGGCAGCCGAGAGGCAGCAGAGGTGCAGCAGAGGTGCAGCAGAGGTGCAGCAGAGGTGCAGCAGAGATGCAGCGCGGTGGAATGGCTCTCCAGCACCCGATGCACAGCCCCCGAGAGATCGCCGAGAGATCGCCGAGTGAATGAATGAATGCGTGCGCCGTGGTGTATGCTGCTCATCAGTCTACACGTGCTGTGAGCAGTCTGCGCGTCTCATTAACTAATTATTATTAGTTGATAGTTAGTTACTTAATTGATTGATTGCTGTGAGCAGGCTGCGCGTCTCGCAGCTCTCGCTCGCTTTCTTGCTCGATTTTGCAACCACTACGACCGCGGCGGCGGCGGCGGCGGCGGCCGCCGCCGGGGGCGATGCCGGCCGTGGCGGCGGCGGCGGCGGGGCTGGAGGCGCCGTCGGCAGAGGTGCGGGAAGAGAGGGGCCGAGGCCTGAACCCCCCCCCCTCTCCCCCTGCTCAGGCGTGGGCGTGTTTGTCGAGCTGTGTGACGTGCGCCCGCTCTACCTGCGTGTCGACTACCTCGTCACCCTCGCCTCCTTCTCCTCCCTCTACGCCTTTGGCACCCCCCCCCCTCCTCGCGGCAGCTGCTGCACCGCACCCCCCTAACTCCCCACTCACTCGTGCATCAACAGGCGCCACCCCCTCCTCGCGGCAGCTGCTCCACCTCATCCCCGTCTCGGACGTGCGCATCGCCCTCTGCCGGCTGCAGGTCCGCCACCCAGTCCCCTCATCCCTTCACTTGCCCTACGCCAGGTGCGCATCACCCTTGGCCGGCTGCGGCTGCGCGGGCTCACGTCCTGGGCGGCGCTCGAGGCTGCGGTGGCGGAGGAGTGGCAGCCGCAGCTCCTCGCGCAGCTCCACCGCTACGTCGCCGGCCTTCACGCCGCTCCGCTCGGTGGGTCACTACGTACTCTATGATGACGTTGATTACTGTTCTTGATTAGGCGTCACGCCGCTCCGCTCGATGGTCAACGTCGCGCGCGGCCCGCGCAGCTAGATGCCCGACACAGGTCTGCATGACACTGACCTGCGGTCTCGGGCTGGCGCTCACGAGGCCGCGCCCCTCAGCGGTACTCCGCTGCACTGCCGTCGTGCGCTCACTCGATTCGCAGCCCCGTGTACATAACGCAGTCCGCTAACCACACGGCACGGCACCGAAGCCACTTCCCTGGCTGTCGTGACGTGGCTGTCGTGTCGCAGGCTTGCGAGAGCTGCTCCTCGCGCCGCTCCGCCCGTCGCCGATCCGCGGGCTGCGGCACGGCGGCGACGCGCTCGCGCGCTCGCTGCTCGAGGAGGGGCTCGACCTCACCCCGAATGAATAGTGATTGGATGTCCATCACCGCTGAGCTATTCCTACTTAGGAGGGGCTCGGCCTCACCTCGCGCGTCCTCTCCTTCCTCCAGCTCCTCCTCGAGCAGCTCGACGTCGCCGTCGGGGAGGCGAGCGTCGTGCACGCGCCGCTCCGGCGCGCCATCGAGCAGGCGGCGCACTCGCCTTGCCTGATAGTGAATTACTGATAACGAAGGACCAATGGTTGATGCCGTCGAGCCGGCGGCGCTCGTGGCCTACTAGTGATGAGAGTAAACAACAGGTAGTGAGCGATAACAAGCAGTGGATGCCGCGGGCAGGCGGCGCTCGTGACGGGGTCGCCGAGCGAAGGGACGCGCCTCGCCGCGCCCAACCAGCAGTGCTCGATGCAGTAGCGCGGGGCGCGGGCCTTGCCGTACGGAAGGAGCGCGCTCTCCCGCGGCGGGCGGGCGAGGGGCGGCGGCCCAGGTGCCACGCGGAGAGACGGAAGGTGTGGCTGTGGGCGCGATGCTCTTCCGAATCGCGGAGCGGCGGTGTGGGGGAGCACGCAGCGTGGTGGAGTACCCCTTAGTAGAGTCTGAGTGTTGGGCGTCCGAAGGGTGTGTGTCCGGCGCCTGCATGCTAAGTAAACTATGTGAGCGATCTGATGACGCTTATCTAGAAAATTAACTGACCGATTCCTCGCGCCCCGCGCGCACACCGCTTGCGGGATCTAGTCCCGGTCAGAGCACGCGCACTTGGAGCACTTGGAGTGCAGTCAGTCAGCAGTACCTCACAACTGGCCGGGGAGCTAAGTCCTCAGAAGCACTTGGAGCACTTGAAGCGCATCCAGCTTTTTTTGCGAACTATTCGATGGCAGCACAGTCGAAGGCCGCCTCCTCAGCGCAGTCGAAGGCCGCCGCCTCCTCTGCTGTCGTGAGCGGCGGCCTTTTCGCGGGCTACGTGGCGATACAGCTCTCGACGCTGCTTCTCGCGTCTGCGGCGCAACAGAGAGACGTGCAGACGCGCCACGTCGACTCAACGGCGGTCACGCTCTCGGAGCTGGTCAAGCTGCTCATCTCGCTGGTTGGGATCGCCGCCACCGAGCGGGTGATGCTGCGCGGCCTGCTGCGCGCCGTCCGGCAGTCGCTGCTCACCCCGTCGCTGCTTCGAGTCGCGCTGCCGGCGCTGCTCTACACGGTGCAGAACAACGTCATCTACTCGTCGCTTGCGCGCGTCGACGCGGTCACCTTCCAGATCACGTACCAGCTCAAGCTCGCCGCCTCGGTCCTCGCCTCGCGACTGCTGCTTGGCAAGCCCGTCAGTGCCGGCAGGTGGGCGGCCGTCGGCTTGCCCGAGATTGCCCGAGATTGCCCGAGATTACCTGAGATTGCCGGCAGGTGGTCGGACGAATCTCGGCGAATCTCGGATGATCTCGGCGGATCTCAGCAGGTGGGCATCGGTCGGCTTGCTCACGGCAGGCGTGGTGCTCGTGCTCACTCTGCTGCCAGCAGCTGCCCGTCTGGTGATCCGTCCTTTCTTTTCTAGGCGTGGTGCTCGTGCTCACTCTGCTGCCAGCTGTCTCCGCGGGGCCAGGGTTCTTTTCATTTCTAGGCGTGGTGCTCGTGCAGCTCTCGCTCCGTGCGGAGGACGAGGCGGCGGTCGCGTAGGCCCGGTGGTCGCCGGAGACGTCTGCTCGTCTCACCTGCTAGTGCTGTGGCGCGTTAGGCGGCGCTGGGCGGCGGCGCGGAGGACGAGCAGGCGGAGCTGCTGGACGAGGTCGCGAAGGGCGATATTCATGGCTTGACCTGAGTGATTGTTTCCTTGATCAGGACGAGCAGGCGGAGCTGCTGGACGAGGTTGCGAAGGGCGAGCGGCGGCGCTCTCGCGCGATCGGCATCTGCGGCGTCCTCGCCGCGTGCGGCTGCTCTGGCCTCGCCGGCGCGGCGATGGAGGCGCTGCTCAAGGAGGAGAGATCTTCGCTCCCGCGCCGCAACCTGCAGGTGTGAAAGGCGACCCCGGGCGGGGGCTGGGCGGGGGCACGCGCACGCACGCACCACTCACCAGGGGGCGAGGGGAATGCAGCACAACGCCACGCCGCGGGGCTGGCACGCGCACATGGCGGGAGCCGAGCGAAGACGACCGGCCCCCGCCCGGACCGGAGCGCACTTCACAGGTGTCCGCGCGATCACGCGAGATCGCACGAGATGCAACGCACTCACAGGTGTCCGCGGTCTCGCTCCTCCTCGCGACGGCGCACATGCTCTCCTCGGACGCACAGCGGCTCTGGAGGGGAGGTACTCGCTGCGAGGGCCTCAGCCCCAGCTCCACGCCAACCCGCTTCCCCCTCCTCGAGCAGCGGGGGTGTCCCTGGCTAGGCTTGCTGCAAGGGTACAGCCCGCTCACCTACGCGATGGTTGGCTTCGGGAGGGCGGGAGGGGGGCGGTGTGAGCGACGCCTCTTCACAGCAGCGGCTGTGAACAGGTTTGCTTCGACTCGACGGGCGGGCTTCTCGTCTCGCTCCTGCTCAAGCACACCTCGAACTCGCTCAAGAACTTCGCCTCGCCCCTCGGCATCATCCTCAACTGCCTCATCGCGCGCGACACGCCTCTCCTCCTCCGGCCGCGTCACGGCCCTCCCCCCCTCCCGCACTGCGCAGTCGTGTCTCGTAGGCGCGCTGCTGCCCCCCGTACCTCCGTGTGGGTGGCCCTTCCCTTTTCTACTCGCTCACGGGCCTTGCCTCCCTCTTGCAGGCGCGCTACTACTCCGCCGACCCCGCCTCGCGAAAGCCGCCGCCGCGCCAGTTCCTCCTCGGCACTGCCCTCGTGCTCCTCGCACTCGGCACGTACAGCGTCGCCTGAGCACAGCCGAGGAGGCGCGGGGGGAACAAGCCGTCGCGCGTTGGTGGGGAAAGGCGTGTGCAGGGAGGGCAGCTACTTTGGTACTTGGACGAGCACACGCCGGGTGGCCAGCTTGTGCGCGCGCCGAAAAACAGACGTGAAGCCGAACGCCCAGGGTTGCCAGGGGGAGGGAGGGCGGCGGGGGCAACGGGCATGGTTTGTATAATTTATTTATAGAACGGATAGCAGCCGGTCGTCGCTCGTCGCACGTTGGAAGCATTCGCTCTGCAAAAATCAGAGAGACGCGTTAGCACTTCTATTCATACTTTCCGAGACTCGCTCTCGCATTCGGAAAACCCGCATTCCCGATTCCGCGGGCCCACGCGCGCACACCGACCGACCTCATGACACTTGAGTCTTGACACGGACACACCTCAGTCCTCACGCCACAGAGCACAGTATCGAAAACGAACTACCGGCCGCGAGACCGAGAGCGCCGCGCCAGCTTTGTGTATGTGAAGGGCGGAGGGGGGGGTTTGGGGGGGCACACACGCACGCCCTGCGGGCGACTACCTCTTGCTGCCGCCGCCGCCCCCAACCGGCGTCGCCTCGATAACGTCTCCCAGCGGCGTCGCGACGACGGGCGCCTGCTCTCGCACAATCTCGTGTGATCTCGTGTGATCTCGTGTGATCTCGCCGCGACGGTGTGAGCCTCGAGGAGAAGCCGCCGCTTGGCGAGGAGCGCCTGTAATTAATTAATCACCAAGTCCTGAACCATGATTCATGAATCGTGAATTACTGGCTAGTAGTGACGCCGCTCGGCGAGGGGCGCCTCGTGCTCGCGCCTGGCGAGAGTGAGTCGCACCCAGCGCGGAGGGCGCGGAAGGGTCACCTCGGTGGCGAGATCACCCGAGATCACCCGAGATCACCCGAGATCACCCGAGATCACCCGAGATCACCCAGGGCGGCGCGGAAGGGTCACCTCGGGTTAGGGTGAGGGTTAGGGTTAGGGTTAGGGTTAGGGTTAGGGTTAGGGTTCGGGTTCGGGTACGGGTTAGGGTTGCGACGAAAGGGTCGCCTCGGTGGCGAGGAGGAGGAGGAGGAGGCCGTGCTCTACCGCGACCAGCAGCAGGACGATGCCAGACGGCCACTGCCCCACCTGCCGCTGCCGCGCGTCGAAGAGCTGCGGAAGGAGCGGCGCCAGCTGGTCGCTCGCAAAGGCGATGAGGACTGCGTTTGTGAAGATGGAGGCTACGACGAGCACGTACAGCAGGCCGAGCCAGGTGCCGATGCCTAGAAGGTTCCTAGAAGGTTCCTAGACGGTTCCTAGAAGGTACAGCAGGCCGAGCCAGGTGCCGATGCCGCTCACTCGAGGGCGGCGGGGCCGGCGGCAGAGGTAGCTCACCTAATTTTAAGCGCAGTAATCTCGGGTAATCTCGGGTAATCTCGGGTAATGAGGCAGAGGTAGGCTCACCTTGAAGAGGTCCGAGTAGAGCTCGACCCCTATACTCTCGCGCGACCTCGATCAAGCCCTCGGGGCGATCTCGGGTGATCTCGAGGTCCGAGCAGATCTCTCGACTCCGTTGCACGCGAGGGCGAGTGCGGAGGCGAGAGGGAAGGCCGAGGCGAAGAGCGTGATGTAGCCGAACTGGATCACCATCTCGAGGTAGTCGTCAAAGTCCTCGTGCTCGTCGAGCTCGAGGTCGCCGCTGCCGCCGTCCGTGCCGCCGCCGCCCGCGCCGCCGTCCTCTTTCTTGGCGGCGGCGGAGGCGGCGGCATGCCTGCGTCGCGAGAGCCGCTGCATCAGCAGCGGGAGGACCGCCTATCGCGATTTCGAGATTCCCCGAGATTCCCCGAGAGGAGGTGAGATTGCGTGAGCGACGTATGACTTAACTATTTACTTGATGGGGCTCTCGCCTCCGAGAAGACGCGCCTCGGGGTACTCTCGGGCACTCTCGGGTGATCTCGCTGGATCTCGCTGATGAGGGGGTCGCCTCCGTGAAGACGCGCCGGAAGACGTCTGTGGAGAAGAGCGAGACGAGCTCGACGCGAAGGCGGTCCACCTGAGAGTCGAGTGGCGGTGGCATGTTTGTTTCTAATTAATAGGTCCACCTGAGAGTCGTGTGGCGGCGGCTGGTTGGTGGCGGCTGGTTGGTGACTGGTTGGCGAGGCGGAGCCGACCGACGAGCGCTAGTCAGGAGCGCTAGTGGCGGCGCACGTCGCGGAGCTCAAAGGCGATGTAGAAGAGGGCGATGTAGCAGTCGAAGGCCTCGAACAGGAACCGCTTGACGATGAGCGAGTTGTCGTGCGCCTCCTGTTCACACCAGGGGCCGTGAAGAGGCGCTGCTGACAGGCGGATGCTCGTGCACCCGGTGGAAATCATTCGCATGGGAGGATCTAAGAGGATCTCAGAGGAGCTCAGAGGAGCTCAATGAATCTCGCAGGATCTCGCAGGATCTCGCAGGATCTCAGTGAATCTCGCAGGATCTCGCAGGATCTCGGAGAATCTCGCAGGATCTCGCAGGATCTTGGAGGAGCCCTTCCTGCGTCCGGTGGTTCTCCAGGTCAGTCAGCGCCTCCGCCACGTGCCTGTACGCCTGGTGGAGCAGGAGGAGGGCAATCTCAGGCAATCTCGGGCAATCTCGTCGTGCCGCCTTGTTGAGCAGGAAGATGACAATCTCGGGCAATCTCAGGCAATCTCGGGCAGTCTCGTCGTGCCGCCTTGTTGAGCAGGAAGATGACAATCTCGGGCAATCTCAGGCAATCTCGGGCAATCTCGTCGTGCCGCCTTGTTGAGCAGGAAAATGACGATCTCGGGCAATCTCAGGCAATCTCGGGCAGTCTCGTCGTGCCGCCTTGTTGAGCAGGAAGATGACAATCTCGGGCAATCTCAGGCAATCTCGGGCAGTCTCGTCGTGCCGCCTTGTTGAGCAGGAAGATGACAATCTCAGGCAATCTCGGGCAGTCTCGTCGTGCCGCCTTGTTGAGCAGGAAGATGACCGCCGCGTGCAGCACGGCGGGCAGCATACCCGTCCACGCCTCGGGACCGAAGGCTCACCCGAGATTACCCGAGATGGCCCGAGATGGCCCGAGATTGGCCCGAGATTGCCCGAGATGCGCATGCCCCGCCCTCGCCTCGGGATCGAAGACGGCGCCGGGTGCGGCGAAGGCGGAGAGGGCCTCGTGGGCAAGACGGCGGCAGTAGTTGGAACAAGAGCAGGCGGTGGGAGTCGGGAGTCGAGGAGGGGGGGGGGGACAAGGGGGAGCGCCTCGTCACGTGGAGATCACAATCTCCCCCCCCCCCCTCTGGTGCAATCTCGGGCGATCTCGCCTCGTGGTAGACGCGCACGCCCAGCACGTGCCTCGCGGCAGGGGAGATGTACCCCTGCAGCTGGTCGAGCGGAGGTGAGCTCGACATGGTGATCAGTGATTCACCGTGCTTCGCTCTTCACAGCGAGTCCTGCAGGTTGAGCGAGACGAACATGTACGCGAGCGGGACGATGAGGCACGCCAGCGACACGCAAAGCGAGGCGGCGTAGCGGAGCGCGCGGCTGCCGCGCCCCTCGACTAGCTCGACCTCCCCCGTGATCTCCGAGACAACCTCGCGGCCGACGAACTCGGGCCGCCGCACCTGCGGAGGGGCCAGGGGCGGAGCACTTGCAGCACACGGTTGCGCGGGCCGCACCTCTAGAGGGGTGGCTAACACTGGCCCCCGCGTGGGTCGCAAGTCCGAGAGTGCGCGAGATTGCGCGAGATTGCGCGAGAGATGCGCATCTAGGCCGCCGGTCCTCCGCCTGGGCCGTGTGCGCGTCGTGGATGCCCCACCGGAAGGCGAGTGCCGCCTGCCTCACGAGGGCCAGGCAGCGACTGACCGCGTGGCGTGGTGTTGCGTGCCGGGTCCTCCTGCGCGTGAGACGCCTGCTTCCGCCGCCAGAGCTGCACAAAGAAGATTGCCTGACCACGCACGAGAGCCACTCCTGAGTGAGTGCCGCTGCCGCCGCCAGAGCTGCGCACAGAGAAGAGGAGTGCCCACACGACGGAAAACAGCGAGAAGACGGGCACCGCGCTGTCGTCGTCGACGCTCGTCCCTTTCGGGCGGCGCCACCAGATGCAGAGGCCGAGGGCCGCGGGCGGGGCCAGCGCCTGGACGTAGAAGGCCTGCCAGGCGAACAAGAAGCCCGTCCTCTCGCCCCAGTAGTCGCGGATCGCATCGAGGGCGAGAGGCTCGGACGAGCGGAGCCACGCCCACTCGCGCAGCAGCCCGACGGACCGTCGCCAGCCCTCGAGCCGGCCGGCGCAGTGTGCGGCGCTCACCTAGCATCGACCAAGAAGGATTGACTGTGCACCGCCGCCGCCGCCCTCCCCGCCCGCGCCGTCACCACCACCGACACTCCATCTCTGCTTCTGCTCCGATGGGTGAGCTCACCTCGCCGAGCAAGCCGACGGAGGCGAGGGCGCGTAGCAGCGACGACAGGTGGCGCGGAGGGACCTCGCGAACGGCGCCAGCGGCGAGCGCGGCGGAGAAGGAGGCGTTGTCGACGGGGACGGCCTCCAGCAGCGCGGTCACCAGGAAGACCCGCTCAGACGGCGTGAAGAAGCCGCCCTCTCCCGCTCCAGCGAAATCGGCCCGCTGCGCCAACACAAACTCGCGCATCGGCCAGTGCCGCTCGCTCGCGCACGACCGAGCCTCTGGCCGCAGGCGCTTTTCTAGCTCGAGGTGCTCCGCCTCGCGCTCGAGGGTCGCTGAGGGCGCGCTGACTCTCAGCACGGTGGCCGTGGCAGGGACCCGTGCCACTCTCAGGCCGGCGGATCGGACCCGCTGCTCGACATACCGCACCACAGGCTCCGGAGCGGTCAGGGCCAGGAGAACGTCCGTCGAGGCTGCGTCCATGTGGTTGTTTTGTAGACTCTCGTTGGACGACATATGGGAGGCCGAGCGGGGGGCCGCGGCGAGAGAGAGAATAGACCGCGAATGCTGGAAGCCCATATAGGCACCTTACACTCCCCCAGTATCGCACCTCTTGAGCGACACTACGTTTCCGCAGCTGGGGATTCTCCGGGTACCCCTCTTTGTACCCGTGCTGGCCGGATTCCTCCTCCGAACAACTCAAGTTCGATCGATCGGCCCCAGTCTCGAACTGGCAGCCACTATCTCACCGGAGGTACCATGTCCGAGGAGGCCACCGGCCAAAAGCGCATGTCTTGAAGGTCCGATACTGGTTACTGGAAGCCCATATACTGTAGGCACCTTACAGAAATGCAGAAGGCGAATACAAAAACAAGAACACAACGCACTCTCTCACATGACAAGCGATCCCACGACAGCGATTGTGGGGACTACATGATCCGTACGTGAAGGGTGGAGGGGCCCGTCCGCGGAGCTAGGCGGTACGGGCGCCCTCCACTGGGTGGGGCCGAGGGTAAGAGGACGTCTGCAGCTTGCTTGTTCTTGACCTGAGGGAGGGTGTAGAGGATGTAGAGTGTAGAGCGCTGTAGAGCTGTAGAGATGTAGAGCGCTCTGGAGCGCTGTAGAGCTGTAGAGCTCTACATCGGCTGCGTGACGAGGCGGGTGCGTTGTAGAGCGATGTAGAGCGCGATTTTGCTGTAGAGTTTGTTGTAGAGGCTCTACAGCCAAACCGCCGGGAAGGCAGTGACTCAAAGAGGTCGAGTCGCACTAATGGGGTGTCTCCGAGCTTACTGGAGCTCTGATCGACGGCCCTGACTATCACTGACACACAGAGACGGTCACTCTGACGGCACACAACACCCTATAACTGCGTCATGACCAGCCTGCCATGCGTCGCCGGTGCCGCATTCGTCGCTGTGCTTCTTTAGCAGGCGGTGGACTATCGGCTGCGAGGACGGTCGCATTTGCGCGAGGCGAGGCGAGCATTCAGACGCGTTGCATGCGCCATGACTCGCGCCAGCGCGTGCGGGAGCTCCTGGCTGAGCGTTGAGTCCAGGCGAGTTGCGCTGGCCACGATCGCTACGCCAAGCCGAGCTGACGCGCCGAGGCGCCGGCCAGTCGCAGCCGTGAGGCATGCCACAGCAGCAGAGGCACCTCCCACCCATTGGGCGGGCAGACAGAAGGCCAGGGCAGCACTGGTAAGTGCAACGCGCCTCATGTCGGAGAGCGACCGTGCCTCGTTCGCCGCTTATGATGTAGAGTTTGTTGTAGAGATTTCACGTTGTAGAGCGCCTCTGCATCGCTCTACAACGCACCCGCCTCGTCACGCGGTGGATGTAGAGCTCTACAGCTCTACAGCACTCTCCAGCTCTACAGCTCTACAGCGCTCTACACTCTACATCCTCTACACCCTCCCTCAGTTCTTGACGTCGTTGACCCAGTTGGCACGCTCAGGGGAGTTGCGCCAGTTGATACGCGTATTGCGCGCCTGCTTGTTGATGATCTCGGCGTCGCCCGCCACCGCCGCCATGGAGATCTGCTGCGTGTGGTGAGAAATAAAACAAACAAGAACACAACGCACTCTCTCACATGACAAGCGATCCCACGACAGCGATTGTCGAAACGCGAAAGAAAATTAAAAAGAACAATTCTCGTGCCGGCCGAGAGAGCGGAGGAGAAAGAACCATTCTGAATTCTCCAGTCGTCCCCCCCTCCTGTTGAGTATATGAGCGACCCACCGCGAGGGTTGCTCCTGACTCTGGCCTTTTCTGGGTCACGTAGCCACACCTCGCCTCCTTGGTGCGAGTGGCTGCCAGTTCGACTCTGGGGAGGATCGAACCATCAACATGGGGTACCTCCGGTGAGATCTCCCAAGTCGACGGCGGTCTGCGAAGATTTGAGTCCCTTCGTGTGAGCTACGAAAAAGATCGAAAATAGTGCCCAAGGTAACCCGGGGGAACTCGCGTCCCGGAACCTCTGCCCTACCTCGAAACACGGCGGTATCGGACATACAGCAGCATCAACCTCGTGCTGTGTCGTGGGGGCGTGTTGAGTATATGAGCGACCCACCGCGAGGGTTGCTCCCGACTCTGGCCTTTTCTGGGTCACGTAGCCACACCTCGCCTCCTTGGTGCGAGTGGCTGCCAGTTCGACTCTGGGGAGGATCGAACTATCACACCCCCCGCCCCCCCCCCCCCCGAGACCTCGAGGAGGCGAGGAGGCGAGAGAGCGGAGGCGCTCCAGCGCGATCATGCACGCGCTCTCGATCGGCCTCGCGGCGTCGGCGCTCTCTGCTGCGTCGTGCGTGGCGCGCACCTCGCGATGTTGTTCGATGAGCGCCGTGCCGGGGCTGCTCGCCGAGGCCACGGCGCAGCTCGCCGAGCGCGGCGTCGAGCTGCGGCTCGGATCGACGGCGACGCCCGGTTCGCGCACGTCGTCGCGGATCGCGGTGCGCGCCGGCCCCGATGGCGCGGCGATGGTCGGCATGTTCAAGGCCGGGACGCACGAGGTGGTGCCGTGCGAGGCTGACGAGCGCTGCTACCTGCCGCACCATCCGTTGATCAACGACGCCGTCGCCGCCGTCGCCGGCGAGCTGCGAGCCTCCGCGGAGCTGAGCGCGTACGATGAGAGCTCGCTGCGTGGCACGCTGCGCTACCTGCAGCTCAGCGTCGAGCGGTCGAGCGACACCGTGCAGCTCACGCTCGTCGCGAACGCGCCTTCACTCGCCGCCGATCCCGCGCTCGCGCAGTTTGCGCTGCGCCTGTGGCGGCTGCGCGCGCCGCGGTGGCACTCGATCTGGGTCAACCTGAATCCGACGAGCGTCAACAACATTCTGAGCTACGAGCCCGACGCGTGGCAGCTGCTGCACGCGCGCGACCCGCGAGGCCTCGGCGGCGGCGCCGGCGACGGCGACCGCGACGCCGGCCGCGATGGCTGCCTGGTCGAGCGCTTCCCGTCGGGCGCAGCCTTTGTCCTACCGCCGTGGGTCTTCCGGCAGGCCAACCTGTACGCCTTCGACGCGATCGTGGGCGCGCTGCGGCGGGCCGTGCCCGCGGGTAGCCGCGTAGTCGAGTGGTACGCCGGCGTCGGCGTCCTCGGCCTCTCGCTCGCGCCCTCCGTCGCGTGGGTGCGCTGCTCGGACCTCAACCCGCCGTACGCCGCCTTTGAGGCCTCGCGCGACCTGCTGCCCAAGGGCGAGCGTGCGCGCGTCACGTACGCCGTCGGCGGCGCCGCGGAGCGCCTCGACGACGCGCGCGGCGCCGACGTCGCCGTCGTCGACCCGCCGCGCAAGGGGCTCGACGACGCGCTGCTCGCCGCGCTCTGCGACGCGCGCGCCGACGGCCCGTGCGCGTCGCTCGGCACGCTCGCCTACATCTCGTGCGGCTTCCCCGCGCTGGTGCGCGACGCGGACGCGCTGCTCGCGAGCGGCTGGCGCGTGCGGCGGCAGCGGGCAGAGGCCCACGTCCTCTTCCTCGGCGCCAACCACCTTGAGACCCTGTGCGTCTTCGAGCGCGAGGCGCCCGTCGGGCCGGATGGGGCGAAGCAGGACGCCCAGGAGCCGCCCCGAAGCAGCGCCAACAGTGAGAGAGGGCAGAGAGCGCGCCGAGCGCGCGACCCCGCGACCTCGCCGCGCGCGCGTCGGCTGGCCGCCGCTAGGGCCGCCGGGAGGCGGCGGAGACCGAGTGGGTGAACAGTGTGGCGTGTGACCTGGTGTGGGGATAGGTATTCAAATTGCATTATATGGAAGGCGAAGAACAGCCAGGCTTGCGCTTGGACTGGACACCAACGCGGTATGCGTATGGGTGGAAGTGCGAGCGGACGAAAAGATGACACGACTCAGGCCACTCACACCGACACGCCTGTCGCCTCTCGAGCCTCAAGAGTCGAGTCGTGGCTCGAGAGCGACACACACAAACTCACAAGAGACCGCACTCGCTCGTGGTAGTCGAGGTCACACACAGTCACACACACACCCTGGTCCCTGCTCACATTCGGTCACAGCGGCCCGAGGCTCGGCCCTGGCCCCCCCCTGCTGAAAACGTAAGATAACGAATTCGACTGTAAAAAAGAAAACGCAACCGCTGCGCTACAAGATACAATAGACCTCTCAGCAGGTCCGATTTCATGCGACGTCAACTGACAACTCTCACTCAGACAACACTCAGAGTCCACTCACACCTTGAGCTCGAACCCTTCCCGCCCCCGCTCACCGCATCTCGAATCACTCCCTTCTCCCGTAGAGCCGCGACGTCGCCGCCGCGGCGCGACCGTCTCGAACCCGTCCTCGTCGACCGGGGGGCGCGGCGTTTTGCCGTAGAGAGGTCGGGAATGCCGTAGAGGTCGATGCTTTTCAGCACCCCGATCCCGTGTTGCCGCGCAGCGCCTCGCCGATCGCCGTGGCGCCCTCGTCCCCGATGTTGTTGCGGCGGAGGTTGCACGTTTTCAGCACCGCGTTGCCCTGCACAGAGCCTCGGCGATCGCGGTGGCGCCCTCGTCACCAATGTGATCTGGCGGCAGGCGGGATTCCCCTCACGTATAGGGCAAGAAAAAAGAAAGAATCGCGTACAACCCAAGGGAGGGATGGGAGGACGGTATAGGGCAAGAAAAAGAAAGAAAGAAAGTAAACAGACCCAGGAGGGCGCGGGGGTAAAAATTTTCCATGGCGGCCTTCACGCTTTCCAGCATCGACAACGCCGTCGCCTCGGCGGAGGCCCTGTTCGCCGCCCTGAGAGAAACGTCCTCCGCTACCAGCACACAGCGCGTGAGCGCCATGCACACCGAGTTCGAGCGCTGCTGGTCCGAGGTTGCTGCGGCAGCGGCCGAGCTCGACGCCGAGGAGTCGCAGATCACACAGCTTCGGAGAGAGCGGCGCGAGCTCCGCGAGGCGAGCGCCGCCAGCAACAGCCGTGGACCCGCCATCGACAGAGCGACGTCGCGTCGCAGCACTTCTCACCCGTGCCGCCCGTCCCGCGCGCACCGCAGGCGCTCGCGGCGCAAAACGTGCTGCTCAAACAGCAGATAGAGGCGCTGCGGCAGATGCTGTGTGATGCGTCTATGTAACACCTGAGTCTGCACTCTGTCACATGTACACTTGGTAAAAAGAAAGTGGGGCCAAGGAGGTGGCAACCCCGCCGCGCGCGCGCCTCGCTCGAGCGCGCGCGTCGCAGCCCGCTCGCACTAAATTTGATATTCACAAATACAGCTCTCTGGGAGCATCTCTGACTCTCAAGTTTTGCACACCGACCTCTCCGGCTGGTCAATTCGCGGCGCCTTTCTCGGACTGGCACCTTCCGCTGCCACCGATCGCTCCAAGCCTTCACGTGTCCCCGTGCCTGTACCTGCTGTGGTCGCTGCACACGGGCGGCTGCTCCCGCTTCCGGCGCTCCCGCTCTCCGCCGCCCCCTCCCTCCCCAGCCCGGCCCCGGCCCGCCTCCCCGCCGGCCTTCCCGCCTCGGCAGCCGGGCGTGCGCCCAGCCGGTCCAGCGGCAGCATGCCTACACAGAAAGGCGGCCAGCCTAATCAAGAGAGGTGTCTGCATCTCTCCACAGCCGGTCCAGCAGCAGGATGTGCCTAGGAAAGAAACGAGACGCATCACAGGAAATGCCGCACCCCGCAGCCGGCTAGCGGGCGGCAACGTTCCTAAAGGAAAGGCGCCACGCGTAATTAAAGGGGAGGTGTGAAGCGCCACCACACCGAGCGGCGGCGCGCCGGGCAGCGCGCGCGCCTCGGCCTCGGTGAGTGTGCGCATGGCGCCCACGGGCAGGTCGCCGTCAGACAGCGCTCCTGCTCACACTTGGGCTGTGAGGAGACGCCGGTCACATCCGTAGCCCACGTCCCCATCAGACGGCGCTCCAAACGCGTCCCGGTGCAGCGCCTGAGTGGGAGGCGGCTCCGGTCTGCGCGAGATGCAACTGAGATTAATCCAGGGCCCAAAACTCACCTCCTGCGGAGACAATCTCGGCTGATCTCGGCTTATCTCGGCTGCACCTCGGCAAACACGGCCGATGTCGGCTAATCTCGGGTGTACCTCGGCTGACACTGTCTCGTCGCGGCTCATCTCGGCTAGATCTCGGCTAGATCTCGGCTAGTCTCGGCCCATCTCGCACCTTGACCGTCCCTCCCACCTCGGCGAGCATCCGCTTCACCTGGCTCGTCAGCCCTGCGTCAGATCCAACACCATGTGTGTGCACACACCCGGACAAGAATCTCTCCGCCTGGTGGAAGTGGCCCTCGTGCACGCGCACGCGCACTGTGCTTGCGCCCACGGCCTCGAGCCCGGCAGGAGCACACTGCAACCCGTCCGCGAGCTGCATGCCCGCCTCGAACGCGGCCTGCGCGCCCGGACGGAGCGCCGAGCAGTCCTCTTGCAGGACGGCCTACTCACCACGGGCTCTGGGCGTGGAGCATGCGAATGCGTGACTCGAGCCGCCCTCCTCCTGCAGGGTGCCGTGTACTCTTTCCACACGCGCGAGGTGGGGTGCAGCAGCAGGCTCTGCACGCCCCCGTCCGTCGCAAACAGCAGCATCCCCGTCGTGTCGCGGTCGAGCCGCCCGCACGCGGCGAGGTCGGGACGGCGCAGGTGCTCCGGCACGAGGTCGTACACCGACGGGTCTCGCGGGTGGCGCTGGCAGATGTAGCCGGGCGGCTTGTGCATGAGGCAGAAGCTGTGCTCGCCCGCGGGCACGGGAGAGCCGTCGCACGCGATCGACTCCACGCCAGGCACGACCTGGTGCCGCGGCTCGGTGACCACGGTTCCGTCCACGCTGACCTCGCCCCTTCGGATGCGCTGCTGCGCCTGCTTGAGCGGCACGCTGTGCTCGCTGGAAGCGGTGGCCCAGGCACGCAGCGCGTGGTCGAGGCGAACCATATCTTTACGCGTTCTGTGGGTGCCGCCTCGGCTCGGGTTGTTCGGCTTTGAGACAGCTCGCGTGGGGTTTTCTTTCTTTGAGCCGGTGTGTGTGCCAGTCCGCGCCAGTCCGCGCCCTTGTCGTGCCAGTGTGCTGTGAGAGAGGCTTGTATTTTAAGAATTCTTTCTTTCTCTCTTTTGTTAGACTCGGGCAAGCGTCGGGGTGGCGAGCAGGGGACGCGGCTCTGAGCGCCCAGCGACGCGTGCCGGATGGAGTCCGGCCGCGGGTGACTAGGGAAGTTCGCTCAGGATGTGTGGCAGCCACGTTGATTGTGACGTTGACTGAGTGTCTTTCTTGTCTTGTGGTTCTGTGTGACGCACGCTCCTGTGTGACCGTCATCGCCCGTCTTGCGTCCACCCATACCGCGTTGGTGTCCCAGTCGTTGGTCGGACTGTGTTTCGCCTTCCCATCAATCGATCTACAATCAAAAATCAAGCCTAGCTAGTGTCGTGCGAGGCGCGAGGGAGTTTTCTGGTAAAATTCTTTCTTTCGGACTTGCCTTAGTCCCATCCCTCCCTACGATTGTTCTTCTTTCTTTTTGGTCTTGACCTTCTCCCTCCTCCGTCCTCCCTCAAACCTCAACAACAAAATGTTTGGTATTGCTAAAAATCTCTTTCAAACCTCCCCACGGAGACGCAAAAAAAGAAATAAAAGACACTCGGGGCGTCCGCTGTACGCTGATCGCTGTCGACATCCCTGGCGACGATTTAGCCCGGCTCCGGCGCTTCTCTGCACACTGCAGGAAGGAGGAAGAACGCCTCACACAGACCCCAAACAACAACTCCATCTCAGACCCCACGTCTCCGGCGCACGGCATCGGCAAGCCGGCCGGCGCGCAGATGTTGAGCAGCTCAAGTGAGCACCGTGGCTCTCTGACACTGAGGCTCCCTGGTGGTTCACTCTCTAGCCCTCAAGTCTCATGAAATTCAATTGGCACATGATCCGAGAGCGCTACCCACCAGAGGATACGATAGGGCCGTGTACTAACACGGTAATCGTTCACTTAGATCGCCCTCAACGACGAAGACGTTGTGGCGGCAGCGCTACTGGCGAGTGCCGAGCGACAAGAGATCCACCGGGGCTGGGCTGGCCCCAACGCGTCTTTTCTCGCCCGCGAGAACAGAGAAGGCCCGCGTCAGACCTCGTCGTCCTTGAGCTCGACGTGGCCCGCCTTGCGGCGCGCCCCGCTCCCGCCCGCCCCGCTGCCGCCGCTTGTCGGGTGGACGTAGCTCACCTAGGCAAGGGATGAGGTATCAGGTGAGGTAGACTGGTCCACACGCACGTGGTGGCGGGTGGCGGCGGGGGGGGGGGGGGGGGCAACCCTCGCGGCCCCCCTCTACTCGAGTTTATGAAGAGCTCACCTTCTTGTGCCGTCGCACGAGCGCCTGCGTGGCGTGCACCGCCCGCGCGCACGCCTCTAGCTCGAGCCCCTCGTGCGGGCGGGAGAGCTGCTTGACGACGTGCCTGCTCATCTCGGATCATCTCGGATCATCTCGGATCATCTCGGGTCGCGAGGATAAGCTGCTTGACGACGTGCCTGCTCGCGCACGACTGCGTGCTAGCTTACCCACACGACAGTAGCCCCGACCCGCTCAGAGGGAGGGAGTGTGCCTGTGGTGTGCCGACGGCTAACTCCTCTCCTTCATTCGCTGCTAACGAACAGGAGACGCGCCGCGGTCGTCTCGGTCAATCTCGGGGTGACTCTCGAGCAATCTCGGGCCCTCTCGGCTCTGCCTGCGGTGCAGCGCGTGGCGGTCGCGCGAGACCTCGTGGAGAAGCTCGGCCGCGCCTAGACACTTCCTAGACACTTCCTAGACACTTCCTAGACACTTCCTGACCTCGTGGAGAAGCTCGGCCGCGCCGTCCGCATCGATGACGCCGTGCGAGCGCCTATTATTGAGGTCGTCATTGTCACTACACTGTTGCTAATGTTCAGCTAATACAGCACGAGTCTGATTCTGATGACGGTCATCATGACGAGGATTGTGACTCTTGTTCTCTCGTCCTCATTCTCATGTGGGTGCGCGCGAGCACATGCTCTCGATGAAGCGCTCGACGCGGGTGAGGAGGACTGCGATCAGCTGCCGCGTCGCAACCTCCTTGAGCAGCACCGCGCCGCGGCCGCCTCGGAAGCCCGCCTGCGTGCGAGGAAGGGCCGGGCTGCTAGCTACACCCACCAAGAGCCTCAAGAAGACCTCTTCGGGACTGCCTTGGTGAGTACTGGGAGCGGGGGAAGCCCGCGGGTGTGCACGTGGCCCGTCTGCCGACTACTTCGACCAACTGAATACTTGGACCAGCTACTCTGATGTGTGGACATGAGTCGTGGCTCTCCCCCGGGGAGACAACGCCTCGCCTGCGTGTGCACTTGCCCCACGGGCAGCGCCTAGGAAGTGTCTAGGAAGTGTCTAGGAAGTGTCCCTCGCCTGCGTGTGCACTGGCCCCACGGGCAGCGCCGCCAGCTCGCGCCTGACCTCGGGACGACTCGGCGTCATCTCCAGCGATCTCGGGGGGCGGCGGAAGTGCGGCTAGCTCGCGCAGGAAGGTGGTCGCGCTCGCGACCGACGCTCTCGACTCGGCGACGACCTTCTTCTCCTCGGCGTGCAGAAAGTCCTTGCGCGAGCCGAACACCCACCTGCCAGGCATTCACACCCTCAGGACCATGGAGGTAGTGCCACGGACGCCCGCCGCATTGTCCTGCTGCGCAAATCTCGAGGGCGGCCTCGGATCATCTCGGGGAATCTCGGGGAATCTCGGGGCAGCCCACCGCATCTCCTGCTGCGCCGACTCGTGCGCCGTGATGTAGCACGTCACCTGATTGCGAGATTGCGCGAGATGTGTCCCAGATACATTGCCGACTCCCTGCGCCGTCATGGGGAGCAGGTCACCAGATAGGAGGCGTGCAGGTCGTACCGGAGGAGCTCCTAATTGACAGTCCAATCAACGCGTGATTACGTCTGGTATCGGAGCGGCGCGCAGGTCGTGCCGGGGCAGCTCCTTTCGAAGCCAGCGGCGCAGCGGTCTCGAGAGGCAGAGCCACGGGCGGGAGGAGGAGGAGGACGACGAGTCGAGCGAGGCGGGGCGTGGAGCGGCGGCCGCCTCGCCCTCGCTCCGGGGCACGCCGGGCAGGACCGCCTACGGGGAGGGGAGGCGACTGCGCGTGTGTGCGTGTGCGTGCGTGCGTGTGCGTGCGTGCGTGCGTGAGTGAGTGTTTGCGCGCGTGTGCGTGTGAGAGGTGCGTGTAGCGTGTGCGGCCCTCCTCGTTGAGCCGCCGCCACAACTGCACCACGTCTCTTTTGGCCCCCGCCCCGCCGCCCGCGCTGCTGCTCGCTCCGCCGCCCGTCGTCGCCGGCACGTCGTCGCTGCCGCCGCCGCCGAGGCCGCCCTCGACAAACTGCTCCTCGCCGCCCTCGGAGGAGGGGCCTGCCCCCCGCTCGCCTGGCCCCGGCTCCGGCCCCGCCTTTGCGTGTCCCACCTCGCTCTGGTCCGACAGGAGGCGGGCGAGCGCGCGTGGCAGCAGAGGCATCTCGAGACTTCCCACCAGCGTCGTCCAGTCGGTGAGCGGCAGGTAGAGCCGGTCGGCGGCGACGTCGACCTAATCTCGGGTCATCTTGCGTCATCTCGGCCAATCTCTGGTAGAGAGCCCGTCGGCGGCGACGGTCGACCGAGTTGGAGAGCTCAAAAGCCGCGATCGAGCGGGCGGGGAGGAGGCCCTCCGCCAGCTGCAGCGAGGGCGGTGGCGGTGGCGATGATGGAGGCAGAGGCGGAGGCGAGCGAGCGTGTGGTGGTTTGGGGGGGGGGGGGGGGGGATGGAGAGCGGAGAGGGGGTGACTGCGGAGCGGGAGTCGCGCACCTGCTCATGATACGACTGCTTGACCAAGTTCAGGAAGATTTGGCGCGCACGCATGAGCTCGCCGCTCGGCGCAACCTCGCCGGCCGGCGCGAAGGACATCGACTTGCGGAAATCGCCTGTGGTCCCAGGCTGTGAGGTGCGCATGTAGAGGTGACGAGCGGCTAGGGGGGGACACACAAGCGCGGGCAACGGGAGTGCTGCGGTGCGGGGGCGAGAGGGGGAGGATGCGAGGCGGCGCGCCCGGCTTCTTCCAGGCGGCGAAGGAGGGGTGCGAGATGGGCTCGGAGGCGGCCTCTTGCGCCACCACGCTGCGCCTCGCGGCGGGCTCCGGCGCGCCCAAGTCCGAGCCCAAGGCCATCGTGGCGCGGGCGGCGGCGGCGGCGCCCGAGAGCATCGGCGGCGGCGGCGGTCGGTGCAGCATCTGGATCCCGACCGATGCGCGGCAGAAGCCGCCCTGCGTTCCTCCTCCGGCGGCGCCGGCGGCGCCGGCCGACGCGCCACAGACGTCCGTGGGTGGCACCCCCTGAAGTCCGTCGCCGACTTTGAGTTGGGCCTCTGTCTCCTGCTCTCCGAGGCTCGATGCCACGGACGCGCGTCCTTCGCCACGAACGTCTGATGGCTCTCCGAGGCTCGACGCCACGGACGACTCGCGGCTCACGGCCACGCCACGAAGGTTGGGCGCCGACTGGTGCATTGACTGGTGCATTGAGTACGAGTCCGACTGCGGCGACCAGATGTCGATTGACGTCTCGCGCCGGGTCATGGCGGGCGACAGAGGGGTCGCCTTGCGGCCGGTGGGCGATGCAGAGGCGTGGAGCCGCCCCTCCTTCCCCTCAAGTCTCGCGACGTCATGGGTGCCCGTCTTGCCGCCGAGAATGGTGTCGGCGGCGGCGGCGCGCCGCAAGGCGCTGACTGCCATGACTACACGGAACTTCCATGCCTCGCCCGTCGGCGCCTACAAGGTGAGGGAGGGCACCCCGCCCCATCTCTCTGACTCCCGTCCAAGGCAGGAGCCCCACGGCATTGAAAGTGCAAGGCCCGGTGCGAGTGGCTCAAACGTGCGTGTGTGTGTGTGCGTGCGTGCGTGCGTGCGTGTGTGCGTGCGTGTGCGTGTCGTGCGACGTCACCTTCGGATGCTGCTTCAGATTGGCAAACTCGCGCTCCGCGAAGACCTCGACCCGCCTCCGCACGTCGAGCATGGCGCGCGCCTGCGCACGGTCCTCCTTGCCGCTGAGGCCGAGGCAGCGGAGGAGCGCGGGCATGGTCGGCGCGTTGATCACCAGCGAACCGACCACGACGCCCGAGGTGTGGAGGAGGACCAGCGAGCCGGTGCGGCTGCGGCCCTGCTCCGCGAGCGTGTGCTCCATCGAGAGGGCGAGCGCGAGGCCGACGGCGCCGCGCAGCCCGCCCCACGAGGCGGCGACCGCATCGCGCGGCGAGAAGCCGTACCCGAGGCGGCGCAGCAGCGGCAGGAGCGAGAAGACGGCGATGAACCGGATGGCGATGGCGGCGACGAAGGTGAAGCCGACGAGGGCGAGGTCGGCGAGGTCAATGCCGGAGTCGTGGTCTCGGCCTGCCCACTCCGGGTTCCACGAGAGCTCCACGCGCAGCAGGCAGCGGCCGCCGATGATGAGGCCGGCGAGCTCGAAGAGCGCGGTGTTGAAGAGCCACTCGAGGAAGTGCCAGAGGTGCTCGAGCGCCGCGCGGTTGCAGACGAGCGGCCACATGAAGAACGCGCACTCGGCGCCGGCGCAGATGATTGCGAGCACGCCCGAGACGCCGAGGATCACCTCGGAGACGTAGTAGCAGGCGAAGGCGCCGGCGACGGTGATGGCGGCCTGGGGGGAGGGTAGAGGGCAACAACACAAAACGGTGTGCGTGTTGTTAGCTCTCTCCTGGTTTCAAGTCCTGTTATGATTGTAACCCACATACTGTGGTACGAATACACATGATTAGGCTATAGTGGCGAGCAATGCCTGGATGAGCTGGTCGTGGTGCTCGAGCCGGCGCGGGACCAACGAGATCCAGTAGAGCATGGCCTGTGAGAGGAAGAAGGAGTGGTGTATTCACAACGGCTAGAGGCCAAAGTCGGACTTGGCAATCTATTCAGCAAGAGCACGACCGAGCCAAACGCGACGCCCGAGAGGACGGCGCCGAGGACGAGGCGCGAGAGCAGCGCGACAGGAGAGCCGCTGAAGGCGCCGACGGCCATGCCGAAGAAGAGCTCCCACACGACGATGGCGGAGCCTATATTACAATATTACGCCCGCTTGTGAGATGCGTCATTCACAAGTACAAGTAGAGCTCAAGCAGCGAGGGCCCGGTGCTGGCTGCGGCGCGGTGTGGTTGAGCATCGACTCGAGTCGCTTGCTACTGCTGCTACTGCTGCTGCTATACTACTGCTGCTGCCACTGCTTACTACTACTGCGGACGCCGTCGTTGAGCATCGACTCGCCCGCGATCACCATCGTCAGCACCGGAGACGCGCCGAGGTCGTTGAGCAGCGCGACGACTGCAACCGGGTCTGTGGCGGCGAGCACGGAGCCTAGCATCGCGGGGGCGATCTCGGGTGAATGGGGCCCACCTCGGCGAGGGTCGGTGGCGGCGATCACGGGAGCGCCGAAGGCGAGCGCGAGGTCCCAGGGCCACTCATACGGCAGGAGCCACCTAGATGTAGATCGCGTTTGCCATACCAATGATGAGTCAGTCAGGACTGTTCCCATTCGTGTGGCGATGGCCACCGCACGTAGCACGCGGTCAGTGCGGCGGAGATCAGCACGCCAGGCACGGCGAGCACGAGGCACTGCGAGAGGCAGCGGTAAGTGCGGTGCCACTCGAGCTGCATCGCGTCGTTGAACAGGAGGGCGGGCAGGAAGATGCGGAGGAGGAGGTGGCCGTCGATGTGCTCCCAAGCGTCGAGCGAAGCGTAGAGGTGCGGCGACCCCTCGGCGGTGAGCACGAACCGCTTGAGCGTGGCGACGAGTACCCCGACGAGGAGAAGCGTGGGCGTGTATGGGACGCCGGGCATGTAGCGAGAGCACACGTGCGTGATTGCCGCGCCCACCAAGATGCCGAGCGAGAGCGCGAGGATGGCGCTTCCGCCGTCGTGGCCGCAGGCGGCCATACCCGTCGAGGGAGCAGTCGAGGGAGCCGTCGAGTGAGCCGTCGAGGGAGCCGTCGAGTGAGCCGTCGAGAACGCCGTGGAAAAAGTATTCTCGTGAACAAAGAATTTTCGAATCCCTCCCTCGCACAACACTGGGCACGGCGTGCCGTCCTCCCATCCCTCCCTTGGGTTGTCTGTTTTCTTTCTTTTACTGGGCACGGGACTGGCGCGCACTGGCACTAGGTAACCACGGGAGCCGCCTAAGCGACTCCTGCGAGGACGGCGAGGCACTTAGCTCCGTGCACTCGACCGCCCTCGCCGCAGGCAAGCTCATTCACAATCTGCTCTGCGATGATGACCGTGTGAAGAACAACTGAGATACGCTGCTTCTGCAGCCCTAGCCAAAAGAATTGCCAGGCGACTGGAAAAGGAAAATGAGCCAAACACACGTGTGCTCCGCAAAACATCGGTTTGTATTAACAACGAAGGCGCTCTCAAAGCTGGGGTCGGGGCTGTGGTGCAGGTGCCGGGCAACCAGGGGGCAGCATCGGCGAACAAGCCCTGCTTGCGCCGCACGCTGCAATCATGCAGGACATATGGGCGGCGGGCCAGGCCGACCGAGTCGAGGAAGAGGGCCTGGACGACCGCTGAACGACCGCGCGAGCGAGCGGGCGGGCGGCAGAGGGCGAGGCGCTCTCGGGGCGAGAGCGAAGAGCTTTCCCTGGCCCTAGGCAACTTTTTGAGGATAGACATGGTGTGATCGCGCGGGGAGGCCGCTGCACCCAGACGTTTGACTGTTTTAAGCCGTGTAAGGATTCGGCGGCCCAGGCAGCTTTAAAACGGGGCAGTTTTAAGCCGTTCAAGCCGCGGGGGCCCCGGGGCCCCCCCTGGGGTGGCGGAGGTCCCTAGAGATCCCCAAAGGGGGCCAGGGCCCCCCCCCCCCCCCCCCCCCGAATAGAGCTCCGCTCCAACCCCCCGCCCACCCAAAGGTGCGCGGCTGGACCTTCACCGTCGGCGCCAGGAGCGTCGAAGGTTGGGTCTCTGGCCCAAAGCACCAGCTCGATGTTCACATCCATGGATCCATGCGGCGGGCGACGCGGCGGCCCGGTCCCTCCCTCACGGCGATCGCCGGCAGACCCCTCTGGCGATGGAAGGGCTCGCCGCAGATCCGTCACCTTATCTGTAGGCATTGTCGGCCAGTCCTTCTCTGCGACGTCACCGCGCGAGGGGAAGCGCGATGTTGCATGTCAGCACCCGACAGCACCCGACACTCGTGGCAGCACTACGGCCGCTAGTACTTACACCTCAAGTCGTAAATGAGCTCGCCGCACGTGGGCACAAACGCACAATCCACCTGTGCCAGTAGCTCGGTATGGAACCTTCCCAGATTGGATCCCCATGGCAATCCCCCGAATTGGTTGGGTCATACAGGTAGCACGCTCAGAAGTTCGTCCGTCGCAAAATTCGAAGGCTTGAAGCCATTCGCCCAAGAATACACTTCCTTCTGGCCAGCTTGTTTTGTGAAGCCCGCTTTCCGGGAAAACTCGTCCGCTGTCTTTGACATGCATGGGGAGGGGCCACCCCGTTGCCGCACGGCCCACATACGTGGTCACCGGGTGACCACGGAGCACATCCGTCACGGCATCCGTTGCCGTAGACAGTTCTGCTTTGTATGGCAGTAAATAGCCGAAATAAGGGGCGCCGTTGCAGCCATCGATCGGGGGTATCGGGCATCCAGTGATGGGGCAACTTGTCGGGATACGTGGCGCCGGTGTGGCGCTCGGTGCCGGGGTTGGTGCTGGCGTAGGAGTTCCCTCACAGCCCCCCCCCGTCGCAGCCACTCTTCGTTGCTGATTTCGCAACGGCCGTCCCGCGATAGAACGCAGTTGTAGAATCGACAAGGAGGTTCCGTTGCAAAGATGCAACGCTGCTCGTAAAAGTCAGTGCACTGCGTTTTATCAGCGTGTTCGCACCTATTGTTCGAAGAGAGGATGAAGAGAGGCGGAAGTTTTAGAGAGGGAAGAGAGGTAGAAAGAGAGGATTCCTGGAAGATGGGAGGAAGTCAGGAAGGAGGAAGACTGTTGTCCGTGGATGCACGGAGGCGGTCCAGCCGGGGGAGGCGACGGCGACAACGACGGAGGCGGCGAAGGAGTCGGGACCGGAGTCGGCGCCGAAGTCGGTGCTGCCACCGGGGCTGGGGTAGCGGTCGGAGTGGGCGCCGGCTCTCCCCCGTCGCAAGGGAGTGGTGCATGGTTGCAACGGGGTTCCTTTTCTGGTGACCATACGCAGTTGAAAAAAAGGGGGGTTGGACCCTAGCACCGTTGTCGAGATGTAGTACTCCTCGCAAAACGTTTGACGTCGTGATGAGACTTGTTGTGCAAAGATCGGAATCCGAAAGATCGGGGGCTTTGCATTGATTTTGTACCGCTTGATTTTGGACGCTGCAAAGATTCGTCTTTGTGGCATCGGCCATCCGGAGCACTCGCGACGCCCCCCCCCTCTGCGCGATGAGGACCTCTGTCTGACCCGTCCGCAACTCTTGCCGTCCAGCCGCGGCGTGCGGGCCCCCGTCCGAAGGGCAGTTCGGGCTCGCGTGGGAGCCGGCCGCGGTCGCGGTCGCGGCCAGCGCGCAAACTCTCTGCCGCTTTTTCAACTATTGTTCCCGGGCATTCACACTATGTTCCTGAGATAATTAGGCGATTATATCCATAAGGGTTTTCATCCCTTTGGGACTAGTTGCAAATACGGGTGGTGTCACAATGACCACTTTGTACCCCTCCCCACAACACATCGATTCAGGTCTCGAGATACACAAAGCGGCCAAAGTCGAATAGGTCTCGAAGTCTCGAGGCGGATTTCCCGGGGCGGCCTGGCGGGCGGGCGGGCGGGGAAGCGACTCAAGATTCCCAAAAGAAGAAACCGGTCGCGCAATCTCGGCGATCAACCCCGACACCAACCCCCCAATCGCCCTTCAGCATGCGCCGATGCAACCGATGCGCAGGCTGCTGCGCGGTTGATTGCGGGCTCTGTCGCGAGTGCCAGGACAAGCCCGCTTTCGGTGGGAAGGGTATCAGAAAGAAGCTGTGCCGTGCACGGAGGTGCCACAATCCCCAGAGTGCCAAGGCTGCCGCGGCCAAGGCTGCCGCCGTCTCGCGCACAGCGGACCTGATGAAGCTGATGCTTTCATCGCGAATGTGCTGCACCCAACCTTCCGATCGCGAGTTTGCTGAACCCGCCCTTCCGACCGCCACCGCCGTCGCCACCACCCATGCCGTCGGGGGCTCGGTCACCTCTTCTTCGCACTCCTCGCCGACGTCCGCAGAGCTCCTGGAGCGGGCGCGAGCGCAGCTGATGCCGCTCGGAAGCCGGGGCGTGCCGACCAACGACGCGAACCCCCCGTCGTTCTGCGCCCTCTCTGCCAGCCCGTCGTTCCGCGCCCTCTCTTCCCCGAACTGCGACTTCGCCGTCCCGACCGCCGGGACTCCTGAGGCTCGCGACACCACCTCGGAGGCTCTGCGCGTCCTCGCTGCCTTGTGCGATCCCCACGCCGACACCGACGACAGCGGCGACAACAGCGGCGGCGGCGGCGAGGAGGGCGGCGCGGGTGAATGCCGAGGCGACTATGGGGAAGCATCGGACCGGTGGGATCACAGCCCGCAGCCTGAGGATGAGATGGAGGAGCTCCTCGGCGAGCTGCTCTCCTCGCTGGAATCCGACGACCTGGTGTCGCAGCCCTCGGTCTCGCCCTCCACCTCGCTGGGAGATGCTATTTCTACTACTACGTCCTCTACTACGACTACTGCTGCTGCTACTACGACCTCCTCGCCGGGAGAATCGACTCGTCCCGTCTCGTCCCTCACTCCGCTGCAAGCCAGCTGCCATCGGATCGGCTCCCTCCTCGAGCTTGAGTTTCGATCCCTCGCTGCCGGCGCGGACTTGCCTCGCGAGCAGCAGCTGCGCCTCTTCGGCGCCGCCGCCGCCGATCGCAGTGCGGTGCTCCTCCGCCTCCAGGCAGTCCTCCACGCCATGGTCTCCAATCTCGCCACCTCTTCCGCCGGGGGCAACGATCCCGCAGCAGTGGCTGCAGTGCTGCGCATCGTCACGGCCGCAGAGGTGACACTAGCGGCTGGCAGCGACTTGCCCGTCCCCCCGCCGCTTCTCCCTGCGCCGGCGGCCGCCATGCGCGCGGACACCGCGCTGCTCGGCCGGCTCCCAGCTTTGCCGCGGCATGAATCTGCCCCGACGCCAGTGCTTTCGCCGCTTCCGTCGCCTCCCGAGCCACCGCCACCAGTTTCTCGCCGCTCGCTCGGCTTGGGTGTGGATCGGCTTGGGGGGGCAATCGGCGAGATCGAGGCTTGGGGAGGGATCGCGATGTGGTGGCTGCTCGCCGCCCCCGTGGCATGGGCCGGCTGGCTCGCGCTGGCGAGCCAGTCGGAGGTGGAGGCCTTGGCGGGAAAGCCAGAGGTCGAGACGGCCCTGCACGCCGGGATTCTCGTTGCCTCTTGGTGCTACCACGCCGCCACGCCCGGCCGCTCGCGTAAAGGCCTCAGCCTCGCCGTTGCCTCCCTCTTGGTGCTGTGCCGTGCTGTGGTCTGCTGCCGTGTCGGCGACTACTCGCTGCTGGGCGTGCCCTTCCTCAACCTCGCCCTGCCCAGGCTAGTCGGCTCGGTACTTGGCCACCTCTCGAGGCGCCTTGAGCGCTCCTCGGCGGTCGCACTGCCACTGCCGGGTGGGCCGACAAACTCGCTGATCCCGAGTGCCTCACCAGAAGCTGCCGCGGCGATGTCTGCGGTAGCACTGTTCGATGGTGTGACGGGTCTGGCGGTGGCCGCCGCCACGCTCCTCAAGGGCGTCGCCCCCGTCCCTGGCGGCGGCGCGGAGCCACCTGCATGGATGCACTACTTCGCCTTCGACACGCTGGGCCCTCGTTCCATGATGGTCGGGTATGCCCTCTGGATCACCTACCTCGTCGCCCTGGCCCGGAGGCTGCGCATCGAGCGCTTCTTGCATCTGTGGGGCCAGATGTGTGCCTTCCAACCGCTTGCGCATTGTGCTATCATCGCGGCTCGATCTGAGCCACTGCTGAGCGCAGCCGACTTCGCATCCTTCGTCAGCAGCCCTCCCGCGCGGGCGGGGCGCCTCGCCATTGGTGCTGTGACCGCCGCAATGCCGCGCGCCCTCCGGTGGAAGCTCGGTTGCATCGCGGCCTTTAGCTTTGGCGTGGGCTTGCAGGACGTAGCGAGGGTGCGCGGCCGCCTCCGAGCCCTCCTCCCTCCTCCCTCACTCAGCCTCCGTGGGAGCTCAGTCACACCATCTGGTCTTGCGCAGGTGTGGCGATTCTCCATATGGCCGCGGCCGTCCCTCATGCTCGACCGGCTCGGCCTCCCCATCCTCGGCTTTGCGGTCGCCGAGCTGCTGCTAATCATCGGTCACACCACCACCACCACCACCAATCCGACGTCTCCTAGTGAGACTCCCTCCCTCTCTGCCCCTGCCCCTGCCCCCTCCCCCGCCCAACCCGGCTCCTCCGTTCTGCGCAGGAGGAGGGAATCCAGAGCTCGGGCGGCGACATGTGCTACCCGGAGTGCCCGGGTTACCACACGAGCCGCCGCAACACGCTCTTCAGCTGCTTGACCGAGTGCGAGGCCGCCCCCGGCGCGGCCAAGCCGCACACCCCCCCCTCGCCGATGGCCTGGCGCCGCTCGCTCCGGCAGACCTCGCGCGCCGCGGCCCCGCGGCTCGTTCGGCGCCCCATACGTACGGTAGTAGAGGAGGAGTAGGGCATTTAGTAGAGCGTAGGTACTTCGTACTCGAGCGTAGGTGCTGGTAGCGTAGGTAGGGAACGCCGTGAGGAAGAATTTTTGCATGCTCACACAACACTGGGCGTGGCATGAAGGTTCGGGGCGGCGCGGCGGCGGATGGGGTAATTACCTATTATCAATTAATTATTAATTAATAATTATCGGGCTGCGGCGCGGCGCGGCGGCGGGCGGGGCGGAGCGGGGCGGCGCGACCATCTGCACTGATCAGGTCTCCGGTCATTGCCCGCGAGTCGATGCGGCCTTTGAGGCAGGGCAATGGTCGCGCCGCCCTCGACTCAAGGGGCTGCCTTCCACGCGTCGCTGCTCAGGCCGGGGGAGGGGGGGAGACCTCCTGTTCCTCGCGGAACGGGAGCAGGCCCCTCCTTGCCCGGTCTGCGATGCAGGGCGGTGGTCGTGCCATCTCCGCTTCACAACGACCACGCCGCAATCGTCGCCGGCGCGCGACACGTTTCCGTTGGCGGGACTGTCCTGGTCGAGAGTGTGTGCCGCCGAGGCGGGACCACTCGGGGACAGTGCTGACGGGACGCGGCTTGGGGGACGACTCCCGCGAAAGCACGGCTGGCATCCGTGGCGTGGGGATCGCCTCCGAAAAGTCGGGCATGGCTCTCCCCGCAACTCTCTTGCTAACACGCGCGCCCCACCGAGAATGTGGTGGGCGCGCTGCGGCCGCACGTCTACCTCCGTCATAGTGCCACGACGTGCGGCCTAGATTTAGCACACGCGCCTCAGCTTGCATACACTCATACATTGGATTGTCATCGCCTGTGAGTGCGAGAAGGGCTAGCCGCAGGCAGCTAGCTCATGAGGAGAGCGTCCATAGACACCTCACTAGACCCCACATACGGTCTCGTCCGTGCCTCGCAGGCCGGTGAGATTGCTAGAGGTGGAGCAAGCTGCTCTAGCCTCACATGTCACTTCCTGTCGTCTGTTGTTTGAGTGGTGCCCTTGTTTGTGCCCTTGGCACCGTGGAGTGCTGGGGGGGCGACAGGGAGGATGTGGCCCTGAGTTATGTGTACGCCGACTCAGGGTGTGTGGCAGCCAGCTGGCTGTGTGTCTTGTGAGCCTGTTTGTGTCTGTGTGTCGCTCGTGCGTGTCGTCATCATCTGTCCAGCGTCCACCCATACCGCGTTGGTGTCCAGTCCGAGCCTGGCTGTTCTTCACCTTTCTACCTACCTACCTACCTGAAGGTTGCAGCGAGAATCGGCGAGCCAGGGACTGCGAAGGGAGATATAGAAAGAGGCAGACGACCAAGGGTTAGGGTGGGCGACGGCTAGCACCACACTCCTCTCCTTAAAATCCCTGTGTGGTGGCGGCGTGCCGTCCTCCCATCCCTCCCTTGCTTGTCTGTTTTCTTTCTTTTACTGGGCACGGGACTGGCGCGCACTGGCACTAGGTACACCACGGGAGCCGCCTAAGCGACTCCTGCGAGGACGGCGAGGCACTTAGCTCCGTGCACTCGACCGCCCTCGCCGCAGGCAAGCTCATTCACAATGTCCTGCTCTGCGATGGCCGTGTGAAGAACGACTGAGATACGCTGCTTCTGCAGCCCCAGCCCATTCTTGGACAAGAATTGCCAGGCGACTGGAAAAGGAAAATGAGCCAAACACGCGTGTGCTCCGCAAAACATACAAGGAGGTTAAGTTGCAAAGATGCAACGCTGCTCGTAAAAGTCAGTGCACTACTGCGTTATATCAGCGTGTTCGCACCTATTGTTCGAAGAGAGAATGAAGACAGGAGGAAGAGAGAGTGAAGAGAGGAGAAAGAGAGGGATTCCTGGAAGATGGGAGGAAGTCAGGAGGAAGACTGTTGTTGTCCGTGGATGCACGGAGGCGGTCCAGCCGGGGGAGGCGACGGCGACAACGACGGAGGCGGCGAAGGAGTCGGGACCGGAGTCGGCGCCGAAGTCGGTGCTGCCACCGGGGCTGGGGTAGCGGTCGGAGTGGGCGCCGGCTCTCCCCCGTCGCAAGGGAGTGGTGCATGGTTGCAACGGGGTTCCTTTTCTGGTGACCATACGCAGTTGAAGAAGAGGGGGGTTGGACCCTAGCATCGTTGTCGAGATGTAGTACTCCTCGCAAAACGTTTGACGTCGTGATGAGACTTGTTGTGCAAAGATCGGAATCCGAAAGATCGGCTTTGCATTGATTTTGTACCGCTTGATTTTGGACGCTGCAAAGATTCGTCTTTGTGGCATCGGCCATCCGGAGCACTCGCGACGCCCCCCCCTCTGCGCGATGAGGACCTCTGTCTGACCCGTCCGCAACTCTTGCCGTCCAGCCGCGGCGTGCGGGCCCCCGTCCGAAGGGCAGTTCCGGCTCGCGTGGGAGCCGGCCGCGGTCGCGGTCGCGGCCAGCGCGGGGCCTGGCTAGGGCTGCTCTGTGTATTTCTTTTTCGCGCCTACCCTTGTCCTTCGTCGTGTCCTTTCCTTTTCACAAGGGCTTTGATTGCTTCTGGTCCGGGAGGGAGTGTTGGAGAGTGTGAACTCAAACCTACTTCCTGACCGTAGCCTGACCGTCCTTGTGTAACCGTCTCATGTTTGGTTTGTCCTGCCGCGCACATTGTCATCGACTTGTATCCGACTTGGTGGCTGTGGTGATGTAGCGATGGTGTGGGTCTCTAGTGACCTATACAGCTCCTCCGTGTTCCGTCTCCTGACATGGTACCGTCCGGTGAGAGCACGGAGTGAGCAGTGCGGCACTGAGGCCGACATGAGAGCTGGTGCGGCACACAAGCGAGATGTGTTGCCGCACAGCATTTCCGGCTTACGCTCGATACGTTGGCTGGCACCATGGGCATATGCGCGAGCCGTGGTGATTGGCTGGGCACAGAGGCTCGGCACACGGTGGCACAGCGGCCGCCAACTGCTCGGCTCGGAGGCTGAGCAGAATGAGTACAACCGCAACATCAACTTGGGTGCTTGCGGATCTTCTGCGACAGAGCGCATCTCCGCCAGCACTGCGGCTGTGTGGACACGTGTATCCCCTCTTGCTTCTCCTTACCGGTCCGTTCTCCTCGCCTACGGACCACCATCGCAGCTGCTGCCTCCGCTACCAGCTCTCGGGCTGCTGCAACGGCAGCTACCGCAAAGATCTCGCACCGAATGTGGACCCTGCCTTTCGCCGCCGCTACTTCCGACGTCGCCGCTCGACACGACCGGAGCTGTACGCGATGAACACGCGACGATCGACACGCCCTCTCTGCCTTGTGTGGCGATTATCACGTCGTGGGGGAGTGTTGGGCATCTGTTCGACGTGGCAATGCCACTCTACCTCATTGCTGTCTGACTCTTCCTCGTCCTGCCTCCTCGCGCTAGCCCGTCCCGCTGTCCAACGCCTCTGGCAAGAAGTCCAATGCGCCTCTACGAGCGTCTCTGCCGTCTGGATGGCATACCTACGCTCAGACACATTCACACTCTGCTGTTGTTGTCTGCCGCATCCTCATTCATGAAGACTGCGGAGACAATGGGGGAGTGTTGGAGAGTGTGAACTCAAACCTACTTCCTGACCGTAGCCTGACCGTCCTTGTGTAACCGTCTCATGTTTGGTTTGTCCTGCCGCGCACATTGTCATCGACTTGTATCCGACTTGGTGGCTGTGGTGATGTAGCGATGGTGTGGGTCTCTAGTGACCTATACAGCTCCTCCGTGTTCCGTCTCCTGACAGGGAGGGAGTGGGGTGCAGGTTGCTCTTGAAAGTTTGAATGCCGTGGGGCTCCTGCCCGTGTCCGGGCGTGGAGATGCGAGGGTCGCCCCCACCAGTTTAAAAGAAAGAAAGAAAACAGACAACCCAAGGGAGGGATGGGAGGACGGCACGCCGCCACCACACAGGGATTTTAAGGAGAGGTGTGTGGTGCGCTATCCGTCGCCCACCCTAGGGAGTCTGCCTCTTCCTATCTCTCTTCGCAGTCTCTCGCCGATTCTCGCTGCAACCTTCATGCCACCTCGCGGTCGCCCCCACCAGTTTGTGATGTGGTATCAGCGGACGGGCATTCTTTTTTGCTCTTTGCTGGTTGATCACTGCCGCGGCAGGTGGGTGGACCTTCTTCTCTGCTTGGAGACGCTGTCCGACAAATGCCGCCGACTCCTGCGCTGCCCCGCGGCGGCAATAGCCTCGCAGATCTTCTCCAGGCGAGAACAGGTGCGGCGGCTGCCCGGCGGCGGTGGGCTGATGAGGGAGCCATCGGCGAGAGGAGGCGGCCACCGCCGTGTGCGCTGGCCGCTGCCTCGCCAACGCGGCGCCCGATAGCGAAGAGGCCGACACCGATCGACCGCAAGCGGCCACGCGAGGACGAGTCGGCGTTTCTCAAGCCGCGCGAGGTGGGGCAGAAGGGAGCTGCGGCCACGCTGCCAGAGGCCAGCACTCCCGACGTGCTGCGCGACTGGATGACGGAAGCTGAGATCGAGGACGTGGCTGGTGTAGATCTCGACACGCTGGCGGCGAGGCTTGAAGAGGTAGTAGCCGGCGTGTGAGCGGCGACGCTCTAGAGTCTCCGATACCGTTTACGGCTCAGAGGAGCGCACGCGCGGCGAGTGGTTTGCCGCGTAGCTCGTTGTGTGCCACACAACAACATGCACATGCACATGCACATGCACATGTCTCTGTGCGCTGCGTGCGTCTCTGTGCGCGCGTGTACCGTACAATGACCCGTACCGACCACAAAGAAAAGGCGAACTGCGCGCCGCCCGCCGGCCGGCCGCGCGCGCGCGCTCTGCCTCTGGCCCCGCGTTGCCTTTGAGCCTTGCCGTTTCGGTGTACGGTGAGCGCTGAGCGGCTGAGCGCTGTGCAGCGCCCAACGGCTGTGCCACCTGTGGGTCCGAGCGTCTCGAATCTCGCATCAGCCATCACGGGGTACGCATGTGTCCTCTCCTCTGTCCTCTTCCGTCGTGCTGAGAGTGCCTCGAGTGCTTCGACCTCGCGGACTCGCGACCCCATTCCGTGGTCCTCACGGCTGCACTTCTCGGTGTGCGTCATGCTCGTCATGCATGGGAGTGGCTCCCGCTCGCCAGCCACGCGTCGCTCAGCAGCTCCTGCGCCGTCGGGCGCCGCGTCGGGTCCTTGTCGAGGCAGCGGCGGAGCAGGTCCCGCAGCGAGGCGGAGAAGTGCCCGGCGGGCAGCGTCGGCGCGGGCTCGTCCGCAATCTGGCCGAGCAGCTGGTAGAATGCGCCTCCGGAGGTAGAGTACGGGGGGGGGGGGTGAGCAAGGCGCTGGTATCGGCGAATCTCGGCAAATCTCGGCGAGTCTCGCCTCCGGAGGTGGAGTACGGGTAGGCGCCGCTGGCGAGCTCGAGGAGGATGAGGCCGAAGGACCAGATGTCGGAGCTGTACGAGTAGGCCTCTGCGCGCAGACGCTCGGGCGACATGTAGCAGGTGGTGCCGACAAACGTCGAGCAGAGCTCGCCCGTCGCCTGGGAGGGGCATTCCGAGAACGTTCCGCGAAAGTGCCGACCGACGTCGAGCAAATCCCCTCGCCCGTCGCCTCGAGCTGCGACGAGATCCCAAAGTCGGAGATCTTGACGGCGCCCTGCGAGTTGAGCAGCACGTTTGCCGGCTTGAGGTCGCGGTGCACCTGCCGAGAGACAGACGAGGTATAGCCGAGGTACGCAGAGAGACGGCCGAGAGACAGACGAGGTATAGCCGAGGTACGCAGAGAGACGGCCGAGAGACAGACGAGGTATAGCCGAGGTACGCAGAGAGACGGCCGAGAGACAGACGAGGTATAGCCGAGGTACGCAGAGAGACGGCCGAGAGACAGCCGAGCGACAGCCGAGAGCCAGCCGAGAGCCAGCCGAGGCACAGCCGAGGTCCAGCCGAGAGATGGCTCGAGGTGCACCTGCCGCTGCTCGTGCAGGTAGGCGAGCCCGCGCAGCATCTGCTCAGCCACGCGCCTAATTAATGATTAAAATTAATCACCAACGTAGGCGAGCCCGCGCAGCATCTGCTCAGCCACGCGCCGCAGCTCCGCCTCGTCGCGAAGTCCGCCCGCCTCGCGGTGCTGCTCGACCAGCTCGGCGAGCGAGCCGGCATCCATGAGCTCCATCGCCGCGTACACGCGCGCCTAGGAACGTGTAGGAACCTTCTAGGAACCTTCTCGGCGTCCATGAGCTCCACCGCCGCGTACACGCGCGCCTCCTCGTAGAAGGCGTTGTACAAGGCGACCAGCCACGGGCAGCGGTGCTTGCGCATGATTCGCAGCTCCGAGACCGCCTGCAGCCGCTTGGCAGGCTCGAAGACAGTCACCTGCTTGAGCGCGGAGATGTGGGGGAGATCCGGGGGGAGAGAGGGGACCTCGGTGGGGAGGTCGCCTGCTTGAGCGCAAAGACCGCGCCCGTGGTGCGGTGCCGCGCGCGGAAGACAGTCCCTACTCACAGCCGCTGACCCTGTGGCGCGCTGTCCTTGCCACCGCGGTGCTGCGCGCGGCAGACGGCGCCGCTAGCGCCATGGCCGAGCTCGTCGAGCGTCTCGATGTCGGCCACGCTCTCGATCTCGACGCCGCCCGACGCCGCGCCGGCCGACGCCGCGCCGGCCGCGCCCGCGCCCTCGGCAGCAGCGGGCTCGCTCAGCCTGAAGTCTCCTCCGCGCGCGTTGAGTCGAAAGTCGTGCACGCTAAAGGTGCCTAGGGAGCACATGTGCATGCACATGTCGGGGACGCGTCCCGGTCACGTCCGTTGTGCGATGGCGTGCAGGCTGGAGCTGCCGGTCTGCGAGAGGAGGAGCGGCTCGTGCCCGCCGTCGGCCGACCCACCCGCGGGGCTTCCCCCGCAACCCAGCGACACCGCCGGTGGCCGCCCCCCCTCCGGATCGTCGCTGTCGCTGTCCGCGCCGCCCAAGGCCAGGAGCGGCGGCGGCGGCGGCGGCATCGGAGGCGGCGAGGGCGGCGGCGAGGGCGGCGGCGAGGGCGGCGGCGAGGGCGGCGGCGAGGGCGGGCTGGCTGGCAGCAGCGTGGCGGGCAGAGTCGGGACTGCGGTCTGGCGCCGCAGCTGCAGCACGTGCACCGCGGCGCCGGCGCCGGTGCGGAGGGTGGTGTGGCGCTCGTGCGAGAGGCCGGCGGCGGCAGCGAGCTCGAGGAACTCTGGCTGCCGGTGGCGGCCTTCTTGCGTCCGCTCCTACCAAGTGACCCTCCATGATTCACTCTGGATTGCGTTTGAAGGGGGCGAGCTCGCTGCTCCGCTCCTGCCAGCAGATGAGCACACGCGTGGACGGGCGTGAGTGCCGCTCCAGGACAGACACGAGCGCCTCGTAAAACTCGCGGAGGTAGAGCACCTCGCAACCGACGATCAGGTCCCACTCGCCTACCACACGACCACAAGTCAGTCAGTGCTGCACACCTCCTAGCACGGAGGACGGCCAGGTCCACTCGCCTACCACACGACAAGCGGCAGGCGATGCGTCCAAGGGAGCGAGTCATAGCCGACCCGTGAGCCGACTCGCCGGCCAGCACACCCTCCTCCTCCCAGTCGAGCTCGACCACCTCGACGTCGAGCGCGGTCCACCGCCCGCGCCGCGCCTCCTCCTCCGTGCACGGGAACCGCTTCTGGTTGCGCAGCACATTGCGACGGAGCAGATCGAGCATGCCGCGCCGGTCGGTCGCGGTGACGGCGGCGCCGCGCCGTGCGAGCTGCAGGGCCAGCCAGCCGGTCCCAGAGCCGAGCTCGAGCACGCGCGCCCGCGGCCAGTCGATGTCCATGCCTCGCAGCTCGGCCTCGAGCAGCCTCGCCGCCTCCCAGACCACGCCGCCAGTCAGGTGAGGCATCTCCTGCTGCGTGACCCTGATCTCGTCCTCGTCCGCCGCGACGGCGTCCAGCCGGGCCGCAGAGAGCTGCAAACGCACCTTAGCGGAGCCGAGCGCCGTCACGAGAGCTGCAGGCGGCAAGCCCTCCGTCGCCATTGAAGCCGCGACAGATTTCTTTTTGGCAAATTCTTCACTGTACCATTCTTGTACTGTACCTAGCGTCGACTATAAAATGAACTCGGGGGCACGGGACGCGGCACAAACCTAGCGTACAGGGGAGAGAGAGAGGAGACAGGGGTAGTCGCGGAATGCAGGGCATTACACACGAGGCGTTGTGTGCATTCTCAGGGAAAGGCATCACAAGTGCACAAGGCTGACAACAAAACACAGTTCTTTGGTATTGATTGCTAAAAATCTCAAACAAACAAAACAGGGCTCCAGGCCCCAAATGACGCGTGAGTGTTAGATTTGTTTGGTATTGCTTGAGCACTTGAGCACTGGATAGGGTCGATTCCGCATGGTACGGGACCCCTCGATCGTCTCGCCCTCCCTCACTGATGTGTTCATCGGGGGGGGTCATAACAAACACGGTACAGGATCGAGGTGCACGCTGCCGAAGCAGTGTCGTCCCCCCTCTCCCCGACGGCGATGGCGGTGTGACCGATCGAGCTACAAGAGGAGCTTGGTCAGCATGATCAGGAGTGGTCAGATGCACTATCTCACTGGGCCTGAGACCATCACACGACGCGTCCGTCACCTTCCGGGTTTGCGTGGGTTCGAACCACTCCGGGATGGGCAAGCCCATAACTTCTAGCATAGCAACTTGTTAATTGTCAAAATTCCTGTTGTGCACGAAACCTGTGTCACCCGAAATCCATAGTGTCACTCCAGATCCATAAAATGTCGCATTTGCAGCGCATTTTGTTGCAAACAAGTGTGCAAATGGTTGTTTTGACCAGTACTCACCTGCCCCTGCGGAGCATGCGCATGCTAGCTCTCGTACATGCACTCTCTCTTCCGTCCGCACCCGCACGGTACCCATTCCGGAGCCCACCATGCCGCTCGCACCTGGCTCGCACCCACCCACTATGCGTGTCATGCCAGCAGTGCTATGAGCTAATCACTTGGGGACGCCCATGAAGCCCAAGAACCTGGCCTGACTCTCCCGCTCACTCTGCTCGCGTGCGCGCGAAGCGTTGAGCTCGGCCAGCATCATGCCCTGCGCAAAGGTTGGGGAGAACATGCTCCCGCCCGGCTGTGCAAACACGGAGGGGGCCGTCTCTGCATCGCGAGTGCGATAGAGCGGCGCCGCCGGTGCCGGCTTGGCCCTCTTGCGGCGCTGCCCCTGCGGCGCATCCCTCGGCGGTGGCGGCCCGGGTGGTGGTGGCGGCGGCGGAGGCGGCGGCGGAGGCGGCGGCGGAGGCGGCGGCGGAGGCGGCGGCGGTGGCGGCGGCCGCGTCCACGTCGTCTGCTTGTCGACCGAGTTCTAATAGTAGGGGCGCCCATTGCCGTCCACGTACTCGGTCCAGTCCTTGCCGATTTCGGCCTGGCTCTCCTCCTCCTCCTCCTCCCCCGCCTCGTCGGCGTCCGCCTTCTTCTAGGGTACCCAAACTCCGGGGCCGGTGTGCGGGGAGCGAACCTTAACGGCCGCCCAGAAGCTTTCTGAGCGAACCAATCGGGCCAGGATCATCAGCATATGTCCCCTCCACAACATCGTGGGCGTTTGAGCGGTATTTGAGGAGCACCGCCACTCTGAAGTTCGGCCGGGTGGTCTGCAGACCCCCCCCCCGAGCAGCAGAGCGGGCTCCGTGGGGTCGAAAAAGTCGACGCTGGGAGTCGCACTCGTCAAACCATCGCAGTACCATGCGGTCCGCACGTACCGCCCACATCCCCTCCACCGCTGAGAAGGCGCAGATCGACCGCCGGGCCGCGCAGTCGTCGTTAAGGAGCGGTTTTCGGAGCCGTACGAAGAGGTCCCACGCAGACGGACCCGGCGAACATGCGGTTTTTCGATGACCACGCGCGATGTGGTATCTGCTTTTTGCTAAAAACGGGCCGCCTAGTGCAGCACCACTAGTACAACACGCAACCACACTTAGAGCTCCACAGTAGATGCTTTTGACGAGCGCCGACGGCGTCACGGTCGCCGGAGTGGACGCACTGCAGACTGCACACACACACTGTGACCGGGTTGTTGGTGTGACAATGAGCGACACAATCGTCGGCGCCGCGCTATCGCGGCGCCCCGCAGTCTACACACCGCAGGCGCACCCCTGAACGCGCCATGAGCGCGCAGGCACAGAGCAGCGCCGCGCCAAAAGGCCATTCCCTCGCCCGACCCGTGGCTCCACCGTGGCTGCAGCGGTCCGCTCACCTGCACAGGGCAAAAACGTGTAGCTTAACAGACGAGTTGTGATGATCAGTGCTGGCGGAGGCCTCATCGCCGCGAATGTTGCCCGTCGCAGCGGGATCTGACGTCGCGTTCGAGGTGTGCATTGGCGGAGGGGTCGCATGGCTGAGAGAGGCAGAGGCAGCAGGCGGGTGGTGGGGCGGCACCTGTTGCTGCCATGGGCAGCGCCAAGCCGCGCGGCGGAGTCGCTCCGTAGGTCCGCGTTGAGCCACACGAGTGCGCCGACCCGTCGCGAGGTGCCTGCGGGGGTGATGTCGCGCCGATGGCTGAGTACGCGCGGCGTGAGCGGCTTTGCGCGGAGAGGCGGCGCGAGAAGGCGAGCGGGCGGGCGCGCCGGTGGTCGGGCACCGCGCGCTGCGGCTGCAGCAAGCCGGCGGCTGGCGCGGCAAAGGCGGGCAGCGTCGTCGCGGGCAGGTAAGCGACGGGCGTCGAAGGAGGAGGCGCTGTCGAACATGGATTTCATATTGGAAACCGCCGACGTGTCCCACGCCGAGATGTCGGGGTTGCACGTGTCCTTGCCGGTGGTGGAGCCGCCGCCGTTGCACCACGACCAAGCGCTGAACAGACACTGCATGTCGGTGATCGCGCTCACGTCCCAGCCCGAGATGTCGCCGTATGTCGCGCGGGCGGCCGCCTCATCGCTGCACCAAAGGTCGACCGCGGCCTGCAGGGCCGGCTTGTCAGCGAAGGTGCCCAGGGTCGGCGGCGAAGAAGGAGGGGGCGAGGGCGGCGGCGGCCGCGGCGGCAGCGGCGGCAGTGGTGACGGCGACGGGGAGGGCGGGGAGGGTGGTTGATTGCTCAGCGCCGCAGCGGCCGCCTGGAAGCCGGGCACGGAGCTGGCGAGCGAGGATGCGAGCATGTCCCACTTGGGCTGGTTTACCGAGTTGTAGAGGCCGCCGGTGTCGAACGAGTTGTCGTTGAGCGACCAGTAAAAGTGCCCCAAGCCGCGATCGATGAGGTACTCCTGCATCCGCTCCTGCCACGGCCCTGTGTCGTCCCACAGGCCGCCCCACTCCCCGAGCACCACCGGGGTGCCCTCCTCGGACGGGATCAGTCCCCAATGCGTGTCCCACACCTCGGGCGTCCCTGGGTGGTTCGGGTTCTTCGAGTCATCGCCGTAGGCGTGCGGCGACAGCACCAGAACATAAGAGTGACACTATGGATTTCGGGTGACACAGGTTACGAGGGGAGGGGGCTCCTGACGGACTGCGTGGCGGGAGAGGGCATGGAGTGGCCGCGGCTGTTTTTCATCTCTTCTTCTTCCTTCTTTTCTCCTCTTCTTTCTCCTTCCT